CTGACGTCTCTAAGCAAACACAGCTCACCAGGTGTCGAGATCATTCGTCCAGAAGCACTAGGAGCAGTGGTAAGCTAACTGGCATGTCCTTTAGCTGTTTTTCCAGCGCTGCTTATACTAGAAGTAGGTTCTTGCTATCTGAAAGCTTAAAACAAAAACTCCGATACACAAAGGAAGAACAACTGAGAGTATCCGTAGCTCGGGGTGTGGATGCGGATTTTGAGCGGTTCTCCGAGCTGAGTGATTAGTGTGCAGACGTTTCGTTGCCTGACTAGGCAACATCATTGTCATTCCCGGGGCGAAGAATCGATACGATGTCTCACGAACGAGCGAAATGTACAGAGTAAGGGAAAAACCATTAAGCATAAGATTCCGTGTCAACACAAGCTAGTCACAAAAGTGAAGTAATAGAAACGTATGTGTGGAACCGTAAAAGAGGACGGGGTGAATAGGGGTGAGTGGAATAAAACTCACAAAACCACGGGGAGTGGTGGAGTATTCTTACCTCCGCTATAACAATCATTATTGCGGCTTCAGGGGCCTGGTTCGCAGTACGTCGTAAGCGACTTCAATGCCCAAGTGCTTGTTGATCGGGTTCTGCTTTGAATGCCAGGCTTCAATGAACTCACGTGCTTGCTGGCTTTTAGCCCTTCCGAGGATACTGGCATGCTCTATGTCGAATTGATGGTTCTCAGCGTGGCGACGTCGCCACGATCAGCACTCCCTGATGTCAGTGCATATGGATGCTGTGAACCATCAATTCGACATAGAGCATGCCAGTATCGTCGGAAGGGCTAAAAACCAGCAAGCACGTGAGTTCATTGAAGCCTGGCATTTAAAGCAGAACTGGATCAATGAGCACGTGGACATTGAGGTCGCTTACCACGCACTGCGAACCAGGCCCCTGAAGCCGCAATGATGATGTTGCCTAGTCAGGCAAAGAAACGTTTGCACAATAACCACTCAGCTCGGAGAACCGCTCAAAATCCACACAAAGGAGGAAGACGAACTGAGCCTGTAGCTCGGGATGTGGATGAAAGGATTGTCCTGTTCCCCGAGCTGGGAATTTCTGTTGCAGACGTTTCGTTACCAAACTAGGTAACATCTTCAGTGCAGCTGTTTGGTGCTGATTCGCGGAGTCTCGCAAACCAATGCCAAATCTGAATGACTATTGATTGTTGCCTGCTTCGAATGTCAGCCTTCGATCGGTTCATGTGTCCGTCATTTGGGCACCTCTTCTCCTTGTCGATCTGGTGCCTAATGCTGGCTTGACCTGCAGAGCTTCATAGACACCCTCCAGCTCCAGGTGTTCGTTGATTGAGTTCCGGCCAGAATGCCAGGCCTCGAGGAACTCACGCGCTCTGCGGTTTCTTGCGCTTCCAAGTGTTTCAACGTTATTCAGATTGAACTGATGGTTCTCGGCATCCATGTGAACCGACATTAAGGATTTCTCATCGTGGCGGCGGGTGGCCAGACTATGTTCGTGCAGTCTTGTGCCAAGTCTTCTTCCAGTCTGGCCTACATATTACTTCTCACAGTTCTTGCAGGAAATTTTATAGACCACACCCGATGTTTCTTTCTTAGACAGTTTGTCCTTCACCTTAAAAAGTTTATTTCGTATAGTTTCCGTTGCTTCATGTGCAACAGTTATCCCGTGAGGCATTAGAAGCCTCGCTGCCATTTCAGAAATCCCATGGATGTAAGGTTGGATAATCGTTCTTCTTTCTGTTACACATGTGGACGCGGGTGGTGACTGGCTCTTTGACATCAGACAGCGTAGAATAAAGCTACTAGGGTACGAATTTCGCTGAAACGTGTTAAATAGGTGGTCCTCCTCCGCCTTCCTCAGTAGCGGCGTGCTACAATGTGTCTGGGCCTGTTTGACAAGACTATTGTTATACTACCGGCCGACAAGGGACGTCTTACTGTAATAATGGACAAAACTGACTACATGAAGAAAGCACAAGAACTGCTCGGAGATGCGAACACCTACCAGCCGATAAGTGAAGACCCTACAAAACGTCTGGAAAGCAAGATCAACAAAACTCTTCAAAGATTGGAACAAATGGGTCAGATCACGAAGTTAGAACACAGCAAGATGAAACCCGAGGATTCAGTTCTACCACGGTTCTACGGCCTACCTAAAGTACACAAAAATGGGGTACCGCTTCGCCCTATCGTGGCATTACCCGGGGCACCAAATTACAAGCTGTCTAAGGAACTTTGGAAACGGTTGAAACATCTAATCGCAGGCTCAGAGCACTCAATCCATTCGGCAGAACAATTCCTTGAAAAACTTAAGGGAATAACAATAGAAAAAGACGACATAATGGTCTCCTTTGACGTTACAGCTTTGTTCACATCAATTGACATGACACTGGCAAGGCAAACAATGAGGACTTTGCTTGAACAACACGGAGCGGTAAATACCAGCAACAAATTGAAGCCACACAAATGATGGGGTTGCTTGATTTCTGTCTCACCACACATTTCACTTGCAACGGTCAAATGTACAAACAGATAACGGGTACGCCAATGGGATGGCCAATCTCTGGACTGGTAGCGGAAGCAGTGATGCAAAGCTTGGAAGAGAAGGCATTCCCAATAGTGGAGCCCAAACTTTGGGTACGTTACGTAGATGATACTTTTGTCATCCTCAAACGCTCCAGACTACATGAATCACATCAACTAATCAACAATATTTTTTCCGGCATCCATTTCACCAAAGAGGAAAAGAACAATGATCAGTTGCCATTCTTGGACGTGCTCGTGAGAAGACATGCTTCTGTGTCACTGGAAACAACAGTTTATCAGAAAGGGACCCACACCGATCAGATCTTAAACTATCGCAGTAACCATCCGACCACATACAAGCGAAGTTGCATGAGGACGCTTTTCAAACGGGCCCAGACACATTGTAGCACGCCGCTACTGAGGAAGGCGGAGGAGGACCACCTATTTAACACGTTTCAGCGAAATTCGTACCCTAGTAGCTTTATTCTACGCTGTCTGATGTCAAAGAGCCAGTCACCACCCGCGTCCACATGTGTAACAGAAAGAAGAACGATTATCCAACCTTACATCCATGGGATTTCTGAAATGGCAGCGAGGCTTCTAATGCCTCACGGGATAACTGTTGCACATGAAGCAACGGAAACTATACGAAATAAACTTTTTAAGGTGAAGGACAAACTGTCTAAGAAAGAAACATCGGGTGTGGTCTATAAAATTTCCTGCAAGAACTGTGAGAAGTAATACGTAGGCCAGACTGGAAGAAGACTTGGCACAAGACTGCACGAACATAGTCTGGCCACCCGCCGCCACGATGAGAAATCCTTAATGTCGGTTCACATGGATGCCGAGAACCATCAGTTCAATCTGAATAACGTTGAAACACTTGGAAGCGCAAGAAACCGCAGAGCGCGTGAGTTCCTCGAGGCCTGGCATTCTGGCCGGAACTCAATCAACGAACACCTGGAGCTGGAGGGTGTCTATGAAGCTCTGCAGGTCAAGCCAGCATTAGGCACCAGATCGACAAGGAGAAGAGGTGCCCAAATGACGGACACATGAACCGATCGAAGGCTGACATTCGAAGCAGGCAACAATCAATAGTCATTCAGATTTGGCATTGGTTTGCGAGACTCCGCGAATCAGCACCAAATAGCTGCACTGAAGATGTTACCTAGTTTGGTAACGAAACATCTGCAACAGAAATGCCCAGCTCGGGGAACAGGAAAATCCTTTCACGAACTGAGCCCTCATACTACCACCTGGTACCCTTTCTCCCTATGCCTTTCCAGGTCATGGAATCCATCGTTGCCCATTCACTTGTGTGTTATCTGGAAAATTGTGAAATGATTACGCCCAAGCAGCACAGCTTCCCTAGACAGCGATCGTGCACAATGAACCTGCAAACCGCATGCAGTAGTTGGACCAAGTCAGCTAACGCTAGAGAAGAGGTTGTTGTAATCTACCTGGATTTTTCGAAGGCATTTGATCGTCTTGAACATCGGGTACTACTTCACAGACTTCAGTATTGCGGCATCGGTGACCCACTTCTAAGCTGAATCGCGAACTTTCCACTTCAATGGCAATTAGTGGTCAGAATTCTATTTATCTGACTCCATACAAGCCGATTGGGATCTTTTCCAGTTAAACCCCGCCAAAAGGTTAAGCCCCGCCACCCAAAAAGATTATGAAAAGGGAGGATGTGGAACTTGAACTTTTACTCTCTATTGAAGAGAGTGAAATTGAGACAAATCATTAATAATTTGCATGAAAAGGTCCATTTTCGGTGTCTTTGCCTCCAAACGAAGTCACACAGGTAGCTGTCCACTAAAGATCGGTGTGTGCCGCATTGGCGCTTATTCTGCATCTTGTAAATGTGCCAGAGAGATTCCATGGTTTGTGTGTGAGTTCCAGTCGTTGGATCCACATTCATGTATCAACTGGTATTCAGTTGTATGAAATTAGGTGAGTTTTCAATAACGCAACGAGTTAAGTCCAGTTTTCTACTGATCCTTGCATGGAGAGGTAAGCGATAGCAATTCTTCAACAAAAACCGGCAGTCTGAGTTGCACATCACCGTACGCCTCAGGATTGTCTCACATACTCAACTGTTCTTTTATCAAACGAGCAAACCGCATGTGCGCACTCCAAAAAATCGTGCTTTTCAAATTCCCGATCATGTTTATTTGCCTGTGGGAAACTGTACTAGCTGTAGATGGTTGCCAAACCATCTACAACTATAAGTGTAAGCAGTTATGATCACGTGGAATAAATCACCGTTTTAGCTTGTATTTGACAGACGCAATGCGAGGTTGACAGTGGTGAGGATAAAAGCGAGTTTAGGTCCAATCATTCTCTGCCATTTTTATGCAAGGGGCAAATAGTCGCCATAAAAATGGTGATTGATGTTTGTACTAGCACACCGTAAACCAATGCAGCTCAAACCCTTTTGAAAACGCTTACCACGGTCCCTGTCTGCATTCCTTGCCTAGGCGAAATTTAATGGCCACTCGGCGACGTTCTCATTGTTGGCCGCTAGGACGTGTCGTCCAGTCTGTAATCATCTTCCTCTGCTGCCTCATTCTTTCGTCCCCGTCATATCTTCTGGTAGCAATGAATCGATACAACCTACTTGACTGGTTGGGCCCTAAAATGGTGAGTTATGCCCCGTTTTTTCTCTGGCGTGACAAAAGTAACTTGTTGTTACCCACCTACAGATACGTGAATATACTTCGTAAGGTGCAGGGCGAAAACCCACCACTCACTACGGTTGGTGGGTATAGACGCACAACGAAAGAGGGGGCCAACGCTTTACACGCCCAGTAAGTAGTTACATTCTAAAGGGTACAAGCCTCGAATGCCATACTTGCTTCTGTTACTACACTACAATTATTATCAAGCAGTACATCCACTGCAGAAGCGGTGCTGAAAAAGCTACTATTTTTGAGCACACCCATCTCTCCTGGAGTGGATAACATTCACGCTAAAATACTGCAGGTAGGAGCCAAGCACCCAACCCAACCACCGCCGGATTATTTCTGTGTTTTCTTGACAAAAGCAGAGTTCTGTTAACATGAAAACGGGATATTATAAGCCCCATTTACAAGGGAAGAAGTCGATCTGATCCTGCCAATTACCGCCCAGTAACCTTTCTTCCTGTGTATTTAAATATATATATATATATATATATATTTGCAACAGCCTACGAATAGGCATGGAACCATCAAAAGCATGGAATTGAAAGGAAGGTACAGATATCGTTAAAAAAGCACAACACAATATGGATGAGTCCATGTGCTCTCCATAGTCCTGGAAGAGACCATCGCGGACGTACTGATGGGCTACCTGTAAAGCTACAGCATCATTGCGCTGGAGCTGCACGGGTTTCGTCATCGATCATGTACCACGAATCTGCTGATAACAGGTGACAGCTGGACAGAAACAGTCGACGAGGAACCGATGTTATTTACGTGGATTTTCGATCGCATGAATCATCGAATCTTCATGCACAAACTGCAGCTTTACAGCATAGGAGCTCCAGTATTATGATGGATAAGTAAGTTGTTCCGCAAACGGCAATTGGAGGTTAGAGTTCGAACATCTCTATCCGACCCAATTCGAGTGGAATGCAGCGTTCCGCAAGGTTCGGTACTTGCGCCTTGCTTGTCCTTAGTTTTCATCCACGATCTACAAAAGTTATCTTCGCAAAACGTTCACACTTCGTGGACTACGGTAAAATTTGGTGGGCGATCAAGGAAATGGACGAGTACCAGCTCCTCCGGCGCCACCTCGCTGAGGCATGGTAATGGTCAGTGAGAAACGCGCTGCCATGCAATGTGAACAAGTGCAAGATTGTCCACATCCGCCATCGACACGCTTACATCTAAAAACATGGAGCGCACAATTTGCAGACAAGCTCTCAGGAAGCTGACCTCGGTGTGCTGGTGCAGGACAAACGCGGTTGTTCTAGATAGTCAGAGTTCGCAGCCAAAAATAGTAATCAGCATGTTGGTCTGTTGCGGTGAGCATTCGAGAGTTTGGATTCTTCCAGATTCTCTCTGATGCTCAACGCCTACGTGCTTCCCCACGTCCAATACGCAATTCAGGCTTGGCATCCCTGGATAAAGCGTGATCTTGCAGCACAACATTGTTTGGTTTCATCCAATAGTGCATTTCGACAGCTTTCTAACGAACGAGCACGCGTTAAAATTCAACATTACTTGCAGCAGCTACAGATCTCACGGCAAATTCATCAGGTACGATCTATAGGCCTAATCAAGAATTTTTTCAATGACACCCTCGTGTAACCTACCCCATCTTCACGCTGACACATACGGCTGGCACGCCAGGGAGGACAGTCTGCAAGTACACCACTGCAACCTGAACCCTGACCTTGGCGTCAAATGCAGTGACAGAATAACTTTTTACCATCGCGGGTGAGTCATTCTAGTGGTTTGGAACATTTGTCCAACGAGCGCGATGTCCAGTGTGCCGCAATCTAAAGACCTATGTAGATCATGTGCCAAACTTGTTAAGTGGCATTCCGTGTCGTACTTGTTGCAAGAGTTTCCATGAGAGATGCTTCCGATTTAAACCTATACAAGCCAAGTTAGTATAAAATCCAGATTATTTATGGTTCTGCGTGGAATGCACATCTATCCTACGGACAAAAAGCGTGCTCCTATTATCTCAGAAGTACGATCAGCTACTAGCCAAGATTGAGGAAATCGTGGCTACCAAAATCACCACGGTTGGGGTAAGCATAACGGACTGTGCAACCCAAGCCTTCCCAGTAAGTGCTACTCCGATTCTTAGGAGAACAGCTTGTAACACTGTAAGCAAAACGACACCAAGCGCCCAGAAATCAACCGCTGTTCCAATACCACACGTGGGCCACATTTGACTAATACGGTTCCCAGTTCGATCGGAGTAACTACACGTAAGCGTACTCCCAATCTGCCGACGGGGTGCACAGAAAAAAGCAAGCTGTTACTCGCGAGCGTTGGGTTACGGTTGCTTCCAAGAAGAACCGTCCTTTAAAATTAACAGCACTCCCAACTGGATCGGAAACTGAGGAGCGAAACGGCGTTCTTCTGGTTCAAGCACCACCTGTTTCCTGTGATACATCTCCGAGTATTTCAATCACTAACCGCGACATGTCCAAAGGTGTAAAGAAACAACACCCTATACTGAGCGTATTGTGCTTCAATGTCCCAGAAGCAAAGTTGACACCAATAAGAGGCGGGCAATTGGATGACCTCAACCAGTGGGACAGCATCAGTAACCTGATTGGAGTTGTACTGAAACCGGTATGCGTAGTGCGTATTACGCGGCACCCCAACTCTAAGCAGCACGGAGAGCCAAGACTACTGCGCGTTGTGCTGAACTCCATCACTGAAGTTGAATCAGTTCTTGGAAGTGGTTCGGTGTTGCACATTCCAACCATGGCACTCGTAAGCGGTTTCGTTCTCGTTTGGACTCATCAGATGGAGATAGTCTGAGCTGGGGCGGAACTCGGGGCCTAGTGGTCAAAGGCTGACGCCTTGATCACTGTGGCGCTAAGATCCCTGAACAACGCTTGGCACAGAAGTAAAGAGTTCAAAGCTGGATTTGGAGTAACCGCTGTGTGGTTGGATTGCTACACGCAATCTCTATGCAGACCTCAGCTCAGTTTGAAGTAAACCTCGGTCATTACGATCACAAGGACCGTATCCGAATTGGAAGTGGTTTGGTGTTGCTCCACCCGTCCCTGAGACTCCATAGCCGGTTTGGTCCTTGTTTGGATTCCTCCGATGGAGATAGCATGTGCTGGGGTGGAACTCGGGGCCTACTGGTCAAAGGCTGACGCCTTGATCACTGTGGCTCTAAGATCCGTGAGCAACGCTTAGTATCAGTTATACTGTCGAAACCTAGACTCAGAAATGAACACTGCTCCATCCGTATCTTTCCAGACATCCCAAGGGTCGAGCGTTAGCGAGTTAACCACACCTTAGAGGACTACCAGAAGGGAACTGTAACCAGAACCATACATTTTCACGGGGTTCATGAAACTGAAGCAAGTGAGGAGCATGAAATAATCACCCATGAGAAAGAACAAGCACGTTATATTCGTGAAACAATTTGCTTGGATGATGTGCTAGAGAAATCGGTGTCACGGTTGCGTACCTCGTCGAACTACAAAGGATGTGGCACGAGAGGGTTGAAGATGGTCCTACAGTCAAAATATATGGTAGCACGGCTGCTAAAAAGCTGGTACATATTTCGCTGCAGGCTACCATCTCAGCTTCGGCTGTAGACAGTCCGCGATGTGCCCCTTAGAGATGATATGTCACACAACGAACCAAACGCGATGGAATCTACAAAAGAACAGTGCACCAGTAGTGTGTCTAATAAGCCCATATAAATGTTGAAGAGGGTATTGACCAGACACATTACGCTGCACGTAGAAGGTTAGACACGAGACTAAGTACGCGGGCAATGAATAAGACGTCAAACACTTCGCCAAGTGTACACCGGAAAAACGGTTAGTCGCCGGCCACTCACAGGTCGGCGAAACTTCCCGTATGAGTTGCACAACCTCCGAAACATTGCTTAAATCTGATAAACTTTCATGTATGTACACTAACGCCCAGGGGCTCCTCAGGAAACTTATCGAACTTCGGTGACGTCAGATTGCGAATGCTTGGGACCTAAATTCCATTACCGAAACATGGTTGCACCAAGAAGTGGGTGACGCTGAGGTTGAGATAGCAGGAACATCATTCATCCGGAACAGCCACCCCAGCAGAGAATGTGGGGTTCTTCTTTACTACCACAGCGACCTGAAATGTGCAATAGTTGTTGATCTGCAAACTCATGTTACTGACTCAATCTATTGCGGTTTCCGACTATGACACAACGACACATGCCTCGTAGTTGTCGTTTACCGCCCCCGACGTCCACACCGAAAAAGGATTCCCGCTTGATAAGTGCCTTGAACAGGGTAACACGCACTAGGTATAGCCAGATTCTCATCTTCGGAGACTTCAATCTACACGATCTGGAGGTATCGGCATCACACAATGAACAATTCAAAGCAGAGTTGTATGAACTTACCGCTTGTACAAACATGTCACCGCACTACTATATTCAGGACAGCTGTTCAAAACCTCCCACATTGGACCTAGCGCTCACGAATTAAAAGATCGTGGTTGACAAGTTAGTGATGGAGAGTTCAGTAGGTCTCAGCAACCATGTATTAATAACGCTTAACTATGTCTGCTATGCAGAGTATCCATCTGAACACTCGGAACTAACATGCAATCACACACTACCACGTCTTGAAGGAACTCGTCGAGGGACCTGCTTGGGAATTCTCAAACAACAGTCCCTTTGACGTTTGGACAAAGTTCGTTGAGAGAGTCAGCGACATAGTCAACAGAGCATCAGAGACTAAGCCCATAGGTCCCGCATAAATGCCTACAATTCTAAGGACCAGGACTCGAAAATGCATGGCGATAAGTGATGCAGTATGGCGTGCCTACAAGGTTAACCCCGACTCAGAGACTTGGAGCAATTTCCTGACCCATCGCAACCATTGCACTGCACTTGTCGGTGAGAATAAAGTAACTTACCAGAGGTGCCTGGCTAAAATATTCCTGGCAAGCAACAAACTACAGTATAGGCATGTCAACTATCTTGATAAATTGAAGCATGGCATCCCTCCACTTTTCACAACAGACGGTAGAGAACGAAGCGCCGAAGAAGCATCTAATGCCCTGTGTCAACAATACGCTCCAGTTTTCGAACTGGCAGCCTCTGTCAGTCCCAGGACGTCATGCACATTACCGACTCCATGGTTTACACACCTTATTTTCAACCTAGCAATTGTGCTAAGGAAGTTACTCTCATTGCGCGATCATAGCTCTCCGGGAGCAGACATCTTTCCAAAAGCACTGAAGCTTGTGGCCACCAAACCAGCTGAACCACTACCCCAGTTCTTCCAAAACTGCTTCGATGAACAGCAATTCCCCCTGTGGAAGTGTGGCATTATAACCCTAATTTTTAAAGGCGGTAGCCGTGCAGATCCTGCAAACTATTGCCCAGTGACTCTCCACCCTGTGCTCGCGAACGTAATGGAAGCGGTCGTCGCTGAGGTTCTAATGGACTACCTGGGCAAATTCGACATCTTGGCACCGGTGCAGCATGGCTTCCGTCAGCACCGGTCACGCGCCACCAAACTTCTAATGACACGAAGTAGTTGAACATAAGTGGTTGATGATGGGGTCGGAGTTGACGTCATCTGTTTGTACTGCCCCAAAGCTTTCGACCGCCTGAATCACGGCATTCTACTTCACAGACTTCAGAGGTACAGAATCGGAGGTCCTGTTCATGGTCGGATGGGCAACTTTCTTCACCAACAAAAGCTTCAAATGCGTGTTAAGGGATCATTCTCTAACCCGATTGAGGCGGAATGTGATGTCTCACAGGGCTTGGTGCTGGGACCGCGCTTTTTCCTGGTGTTTATCAACGACCTGGCAGGAGTTATCTCCTCAAATGTCCTGCTTTTCGCCAACAATATCAAGATCTACTCCAACATGACCTGGATTGCATTTATGAATGGTCAAAGAGGAACCTGCTTCAGTTGAACATAGCGAAGTGCAAGGTGATGCATCTGCGTCAGCAGCCGGTGAACGTTTACAAACTTGGAGAAAACACCTTGCAGAAGGCGTCACAACAGCGTGACCTGGGTGTACTGATACAGCAAAATCTCGGATGCTCAAAACAAGTAGAGAAGGCGTTGAGAACCAGCAATCAACACTTCGACCTTCTTCGCAGAGGGTTCGTTCGGTTTGAACCCTCAAACTTCCCCTAAATGTTTAACGCCTACGTGCGAGTGCACGTGGAATATGCTATCCAGGTGTGTAAGCCGTGACACGAACAGGATCTCATTGCTCTCGAGGTTCCTCAAAGAAGGGCAATCAAAAACGTCAGGGGCCTCTTTCATCTGCCCTATCAGCTTATACTGAAATCTCTAAGACTGTACATCAGTCGATATCGGCGTTTGCGGGGGATCACTTGATGGTTTACCAGATTCTGAAGAAGCCAAGCCACATTTGCCGTCCGCTGCTGGAATTGAACCACAACACTAACCTAAGAGGTCATTCTCTGAAACTGACAATACAGTATAGCTGGTTTGAATGCCGTAGAAATTTCTTTTCCCTCCACGTGTGCCAAGCTTGGAACGCCCTCCCTAATTATGTTGTTTCTGCTCCCAATCTGGCGATATTTAAAAAAACGAGTTGACGATGCGTCGTCGCATTTGCACTTCATTTTATGACTTCTTAACCAAGGGCTACAAAACATAATCAAACGGTGTCTTAGCAAGCTCCCAACTAATGGGTTTATGGATTTATACTTTTAATACGCGAACATATCCGCTATTCTACATAATTCTATTGTGAGTCCACCAAAACGCTTTTCCCTTTATCATGCAATTTACTTTTCGCAGCAATTTCCATCCCACGGGACTTGTTAAGCATCGCTTTTTTTACCCGTAATACACCATTGTTCCACTCGAAACTTGCCAATGTCAAGCAACGAAATTTGTCGAGGGATTGCGCCACCTATCGTACCAGCAACACCTCAAAACACACGAATTGTTCGGTGAATGCTCCCGGCCACGACGTGGAGATCTCATATTAATTTACCAAATACTGAGCGACCCCACTCACATATGCCGCCACCTGTTGAAACTCAATCCGAACACCAATCTGAAGCAATAGGCTGAAACTGAGCCAACAATACGGTCGTCTAGTGTGTCGACCAAAGTACTTCTCACTCCGGGTTTGCCAATCCTGTAACGCACTTACAAACTTATTGGCCTGTGCCCATGCCCTAGTTATTTTCAAAAAAACGATTGGATCTCGAATTAAACGCTCTACACTTTGTCACATGAACAGATATTCTGGATATATTCAGGCTAACTAGCCTCTTTGGATTTGCAACCCACAGTATCGCACGCAAATCTGTGCAGAAAGGTGTGCAAGCTAATTGTTGTTTGTAATTAAACATAACAACTTGTTATTTCGTTTTGCGCCGCACTAACTCACTCCCACAACCCGCTATCTGTACGTCATTACTAGGTCACTTCACCGATGCGTATGTAGCCTGTGACCTAGTGGGATGAATGCGTTAACAAAGTTACAACTAAAATCCTGCTATTTGCGAGCGATGCGTATTCTATTTGGTCCACTTCTTTCAATGTCAATCTCAATTGCTTCTATTACCAGCCTACGGGGGATGATAAGACTGTGGTATTGTACCCTTTATAAAGCACTGTCCCACCCGTCGCTGAGAATATAAGTAGATCAACAGTGTATCAAACAGTGAAATCTCAGGTCTATATAGCAACCGGTGTTATTAGAATACACAATGGAGGAGGCACATTTAATGCGCAAAACGGAAAGCTGTGTTCAATACAACAAATGTCTTGTGCTTTGAGAGTTTAATTGCTTCGAGCCTGATTAACATGAGGATAGTTATTTAGAATAATGTGAAGGAACATGTATGTCAGCAACAACGCATTCGGTCAGTTGAACAACATATAAATTAAGGAAGTGAATCACATGGCAAATGATGAATATTAGGAACGTGTACCTGCAAGAATATTGGGACATACTGATGTTGCCTTACTCTATCATTTGGCTTTACTCTTCAGAGCGTCTTCTGCTACCAGTGGCTCCCGTCTCTCATTCTAGTGGTTGCATCAGCCTCAGTGAAGAAACTAGTGGTCGTCAGCGAATCATGGAACGCACATGAAACATATGGGAATCAGGAGAAAGCTGGCCAAAGAAACTTATTCGCTTTTTTGGTGATCACTGTGCTTATGTTTCCCTCTCTTGGTGTCAGCGGGTAAGTTCTCTGTGGTCTCTCTGGCAGCTGCAGCCATCATCTCAATGTCACTCCGAGTTTCGAATGTGCACCAATCTCGGTAGATCGGTGTGACTAATTTATGTTCACTGGATGCAAAGAGTGCCTATTCTACTTTTTGTTGCTGTTATTACCCTAGGAAATTCAAGATCACTAGCTAGAATTTCTCATGGATGAGCTTATTCCGACATCAACAACACACAAGGAGGTGCACAGTGCGGTTGTTTTGCTCACCCCAAACTCACAGTGGTGCGTCTACTGTTAGTCCCAGAAAGAATCGAAACGACGAGTATAGTCATGAGGGTGAATGCATCTGAACAAACACATGTGGAATGGTGTACCTTATTCTTAGATGATAATCATGTTATTGCAGAAAGATTCGTCTACCTTACCCCACGCATTATCTTAAAATCCCATTTAAAATATGACATCAGTCGAACTATTGACAAGAAGTTAGTGGTTTCAAGTGGAGCTCGCCACAGCCATACCCAACCAAACATCGAGCACCAAACAAAACATGTTTTTGAGCTAAAACCTGAAGAAGTAAGCATTTAAAGGAAGTTCTCAAAGAATCTGAGTTGCTGTATGGCTGTCGGTGTGATGGTAAACTAGCCAGGTTACCCGCCTGCCTTTTTGGGTTTCAACAACTGGGAAAAACGTGCGTCTTGAACTTAAGGTCTCCGTCGAATACAGTTTATGATCTTGGTATTTTGATCAATGTAATTTTGTCAATGGTAAATGCCGTGCATTTTTACGGCCACTAAGTTTTTACATTTGTTACCTCCACAAGCTTGTGGCATAAATAGAGTAAGGCTTGGAAATCACATCCTGTTCTTCACTTCCAGTCTCCCAGCGTTATTTCGGTGGTGGAACGATTCGCAGGAAGAAGTGAAGCGCCTCCGATTGGAATGTACCTTCAACCCCGACAGCTCAGCGTTGTTCATCAATTATGTGATCACACGTACTGCAATGTACTCTGCTATGACTCTATTCCAAACAACCAGGTGGATCATCTTCTCCCTACGGTGCCTGAGAGCCCGCTCATCCGCTGAACTCAGCTACTTTGCTCGAGTGAGCCGTGGGATGATATATAGCTGTTTCGTTAACTCTTTCACCAGATAACGTTCTTCTATGTGCGCGTAGTCAGTACGATCTATACGAAACATTGCGTTAATTGCTTAAAAGGTTCACCATTTATCCGGTTCAAGATATCATTCGTTCCCAAAAATTGCTTAGAGTATTGCACGCGTGTTCAGACATGTTTTTACCAGTGGCGATATCTTTAGTAGTTAAGTTTACGAAAGTGCTTGAGGATCAGTAGAGCATGATAAAGGTCACCCAAGTCATAAGTATTTCGCACTGCGCGAAAGTTCAAATGATTACATCACTGCATCGACTAAAAGTGACGACTCACTGGTCGGTTCACATAGCACACGTTAGTAGTGTGAAGTAGCCAAGATCATCACGATCATCCGTGCCCGAGAAAATAGGTTTTCTGCTATGGTTATGAGAGTAGCTAAAATCGTTTTGTTTATTTTCCTCCTAAGCTATTTGCACTTCGATTGTACGCAAAATGAGGAGGGGGAAACATGTAGTGTTTGAATTGCCGCCAGGTTCCGCTAGATTGTACTATGAACTATTCGCTCGAACTCCAGCATGGATCCCCTATCCTAATGCCCAGTCCCTCAGCACCAATAAGTGCTGCTGCCGTTTTTGTTCATGGCATTACACATCATACCATAGGTCGGCGAACGGAAGTTATTAAACTCAAATTTCTCTACTGGCCAAGTTCGAGAAACAGCCATTAGAGGGCGATTTACTGTATACCCCGCCCTCATTTCTCTGTTTGTATGGTCCAACGAATTGACTAGTTGTATCCTTAATAGGTATACTGAAAAGGCTTTTTGTAGCCCGATAATGTGTGGAGGGGCTAGCGCGGGACTTGCAAACCACATGTATTTTTTCTTAGATCGAAGTAAAATTTAATTATTTGTAACTCTCTATGTGAGGCTGATGTTGCATTCATGATGCTTATTCACCGTATTTGCGCTAAGAACATACCTTTCAACTAGGACTTTTTGAACTGGATAAATTTCATTCCACTTTATTTGCTTTGTTCTGCCTGCCTGAATAATCCTCTATTAACTTGCACACGTTGCCTACACTAATTATGGTTAACTTCGTTAACTTTATTGCGTTTGTAGCATTTTTGAGTAACTTGTGGACAATTTGTACTTATCGCGGGTGTGTTGCTAACCAAATTACTTCACATACTACTGTAGCTAAGAGTTGTGTCTGTTTAGCCGAATGCCTTAACAGATATATTATATCTGATAATCTCATTTCAATAGATTGGCTGTTGTTCGACATTTCCTGTGTGGTTGCGCTTGATGTGCATGCTGACAAAGTGGCTACCTGTCTATTACCCACTACACACCAACATGCACATCAAGCGCAACCATACCGGGGATATCAAGCAACAGCCAATCACTTGAGCGAAATAAAGCAAAGAAAACAAATCGAGTAATGCATAAGTAAACGTGACAAAAATTTTAAATAAATGAGCACATGAAATAAGTTGTTTACAAAGGATCCGAGATAAGTTCAGGGGATCAGAAAGTATATTTTACGGAAATGACACAAACGCGAAAATGTTATCGAAATTAACTACAATTGGTTTAAGCGACGTGTGCAAGTTTATAGAAGAGCGTACAGGTAGACATTTATATGAGAAAGGAAAGCATTAGGACAAAATGGCAAACCCACCACCTGAAGTAAAGAAACTCAGTATGCAACCACGCGGTTAGTAAACTGAATGGAGCGTACCTACAAACGCTGCGCTGGTTCTGCCTACGTTCTCTGCAGGACCTGTTGTCGCTTCGGTAGTGGTCCCGATTGGCCTCGCTTGAATATATATATATATATATATATATATATATATATATATATATATATATATATATATATAGTGCTTCTTCACCGCAGTTGGGCTAAATTTATTTACAATGAAACTAGGTTTTTTACGCTGGATAAATTTCATTCCGATTTATTTGGTTTGTTCTGCCTACCTGAATAATCTTCTATTAACTGGCCACGTTGCTTACGACAATTGCGCTTATCTTCGATAACTTTGTCGCGTTTGTAGCATTTTTAAGTAACTTGTGGATATTTTTACTTAACGCGAATTCGTTGCTAACTAACGTACTTCATATGCTAATTTAGCGAAGAGTTAGGTCACCGTACCTCTATACATTATTCGATTTGCTTTATTGCATCTTGTCGTTTCAGGTGATTGATGGCCCCGGTGTGCCTGCGCTTGATGTGTATGTTGACAAGGGGTCTACCTGTCTGTTACCCATTATCTCGTCCATACTGGCTCTAGGAGACAGTTGTTCGTTGCTGGAGGGGACGGGGTGCACGGTCCTTGTGGCCGTGATAGCCTCGAAGAGTGGTTCCATGCACTCAGTGTGGAGCGGACTACGGTCCAGCCACCGCATTGTGTGCGCTTGATTCCCAAATACAGTTTGCTTGTGTTTGCCTGTGAAGGAGTGTGGGCCGGCTCTGTTGACGAAACGTGCCTCCCATCCACATGCCTCCCGGTCTTATTCCTTCGGGTTTACACTGGATATGGGGTGTGTGGTTGGAGCTGTGGGTGGTGCAGCGCAGGCCACCCATGGTTCCTCTGTAGACGCAGGCGTCCTGTGGCTTGCCACAGTGACAGGCAAATCCGAAACCGGATGCCGCCAACAGCAGTCTATAAGATAGACATAGAGCTAGCGAAAACTATGAAACGCTCTGTACATCATGCCTGTGGGAGAGTTGGTATACTTAGTCTTGCATGCTTAACTATTTAATGCCAGTCCATCGCTTAGTAGTTTTCACAATTGAAGGTTAACTTTCTACCTTTTTTGCGTATCCAATTTAGACTGCGTATGCAGTCGTTGATCTTTCACCTTAGCATATAAAATTATGAAGGGATGTGGAAGTAATTTAATTTGAACAATTTTTCCCTAACTAGACTTGGACAAGCTTTCGAGCAGTCGTGGTGATGCTTTTACCTTTCTCAGCCGTTCCTAGATGACTAGTGCTGAGTCGAATATTCGCATTTCAGCAAGAGCACAAGTAGTTCCTTCTTAACTTGTTTGGAAGTAAGAGGTATATTTCAGTCTACCGCTTGAAGTCTGACCTCACACCATCCGACAGGCAGCTGTAGGGCCAGTAAGTGTAGAAATAGCACAAGTATGTCTAATTCTGCTGTCCGATATCTCCACTGGCAATATGATCATCTGGTTATCCGTTGAACTGCTGGAAGAGTCATGAACACCTTTAACCAGAATGACATGCTGCAGGTTCCCCACTGATTATCCATCCCCTGAGTCATAATTGATCTAACAAAGATTCCACAAGCTTTAGCTCCCCAATGACTTCTAAAACAACCGCAATCAGTCCATTTGCAGTTTGCAACTGGTCTTAAGCATTTGATACGTGATATTTTCTTTTAAAGGGATAATAAGTTACCCACATTTTTCATTAGCTGAAATCAGTCCAACTATTCGCGGACTTGACTGAAGGCTTCATCATCACATTACTGACACCTGTCATATGACTATCCAACATCATTCCCCAATAGACGGAAAAGCTCAGCTCCTGGTATCAGTTGGTTAAGCATGAGTGATCCTGCAATATCACTGGTCCATTCACTGCGAATGCATCAAAAATTAATGTTCAAGCGTCAGATGAATCGATGTGTTCACGATAGAAAGGAATAGATGTGAGCCGTTACGCGAAGCCGTGGAGGATTCAGACTCGCAGTTCCCCGACTCTCTTTGGTGCCATCTGCAGTTAAAAGGCAGGGACGCTTGCCTTATTGTTTTGGTGTACCGCTCCCCTAACTCAACACCCGAAACCGACTACCACCTAGCGGCTGCTTTAAGGTGCAGTTTACAACAAAAATACACTCACATTCTTATCATGGGTGATTTCAACGTACATTGTTTAGAAGCCCCTGCCACGATCGGAGAACAATTCAAAACCGATTTACAAGATCTAGTAACTACTGTCCCTCTTTACAACCACATCACTGCCCACTCGGTTCAGAACTGGTAACAGGCCATCTGTGCTAGATCTTCTGCTTACCAACGAGGAGCATATGATTGATGCGTTGGTTTTAGACTGCCCGTTGGGTCGCAGTGATCACGCAGTCAGCAGTTTCAACTTCGTCTGCTATGCAGAATATCTGAATGATACCGATGATACTGTGCGAACCACCACAAGGTACGACCGACGCGCCCAGCTAGTCAGCGCCACAACATGGTCTTTCCTCGAAGAAGAACCCCCGGAAGTCGCCTGGCTCGTGTTCGTCAACACATTTAGTCAGCTGATTGCACAGGCTTCAGAGATAAAAGCTTGCAATAAGTGCAAATCAGTTTCTTTCTTTGGGAGCAGAACGCGAAAATGGATGACAGTACGCAACGCAGCATGACGAGTGTACAGAGAAGCTCCAGCACCAGAAACTTGGGACAACTACGTAGCCCAACGTAACCACTGCACTCAACTGTTAAGAGAAGACAAAGCCGCCTATCAGCAGAACATGGCAAAAGCCTTCAGTGCTAACCACAAACTGCTGTACAAGCACATTAATAGCCTACGAAAGGTGAGGCAAGGATTTCCTCCACTCAAGACGGCTGATGGCCCAACGAGAACGTCTATGGAAGTTGCAAACGCGCTGCAGATGCAATACGCCTCCACGATTCAAGGAGTCTTGCCACCAAGCGATCTACCAAGCTTTGTCTTCTGCTCACCAGGACTAACCAATATCAATTTTACCGCAGAGGCTGCGTTGCAAAAGCTGACTTCTCTACGCAAACACAGCTCGCCGGGTGTTGACACCATTCGTCCAGAGGCATTGGGAGCAGCAGCAAAACAACTGGCAGGACCTTTAGCTCAGTTTTTCCAGCACTGCTTAGACCAGAGCCAAGTTCCCGCCATGTGGAAGCTTGGAATAATAAGCCCGATTCACAAAGGTGGAAGCAGAACTGATCCATCCAACTACCGCCCAGTAACCCTTCTTCCTATACTCTCCAAGGTCATGGAATCCATGGTTGCCGATGCACTGGTGTGTTATCTGGAAAACTGCAACCTCATCACCCCTGAACAGCACGGTTTCCGTCGACAGCGGTCATGTACAACTAATTTACTAATTGCACGCAGTAGTTGGACCGAGGCAGCTGACGCTGGAGAAGGTGTTGATGTGATCTACCTGGATTTTTCCAAGGCTTTCGATCGTCTAGACCATCGGATACTACTATCCAAGCTGCAGCATTACGGGATCGGAGACCCTCTTTTAAGCTGGATCGCCAACTTTCTATTTCAACGGTAATTAGTGGTCAGAGTTCGGAGCTCTTTATCGGACCCCATACAAGTCGAGTGTGGTGTGCCGCAAGGCTCGGTTCTAGGTCCACGTTTGTTTTTGGTGTTTATTAATGACCTTGCACAAGAAATCGCTTCAAACTTCCTAATGTTTGCCGACGATATCAAGATCTGGCGCAGGATCCAGGCGAACACCGACCAACATGTGCTTCAGAGTGATTTAGATACGGTGTATCAATGGTCGACCCAAAACTTATTGCATTTCAGCGTCAGTAAATGCAAGGTGCTTTCCATCCGACATCAAAGCAGCTACTCATACCGACTCGGAACGGATGTACTGCAACAATCAACTCTCGAACGTGACTTGGGTGTCCTGGGTCAAGATGACTTGGGTTGCTCCAGGCAATCCGAAAAGGCCTAGAAGACCGGGAACCAACACGTCGGGCTGTTGAGGCGGGCGTTTGGACAAATAAACAGCTCCATATTTCGACAAATGCTCAGTGCGTATGTTCGCCCCCATGTCAAATATGCAATTCAAGCCTGGCATCCATGGCTGAAACACGACCTTAATGCACTGGAGCAGCCACAACGCCGGGCATCTAAGAACGTAACTGGAATGCGCAATCTTTCCTACCAGGAGAGGCTGCGACGACTGGGATTGTTCAGTGGAAGCTATCGCAGACTACGAGGCGACCTGATTATGGCATACTTGATTCTGCGAGACCTACATCATGTGTGCCGCCCTTTACTGCAACTCAGCAGCAATACAAACCTGAGGGGCCACTCATTAAAACTCGCAGAACAATACAGTCGTCTAGAGTGCCGCAGAAATTTCTTTTCCATCCGTGTCTGTCACCCATGGAATGCTCTCCCAGAATCGGTCGTCTCTGCACCGACACTAACAGTATCTAAAAGACGGTTGGACGATGCACTCATCCACTTACACTTTGTTACTTAACACTACGTCTCCATCCTACACCTGGAGTTTACCATGGAACTATTTGTTGTTAACTGTGGATGCTGTGAATCTAAGAGGATCGCAGGACTGCAGCGAAGCAAACGATAAGTCCCTGTTTTCATATTTAGAGTGTTAACTATTTTACTATCCTTATCATCATTATTGTTATGTTGATATCCCCTGCAACTATCCAACGGGACTTGTAAAGCAACGCTTCTTAACCCGTATAAATTCATTGTTCATTGTTCTAGTCTCACAAAAGAAGCTCCTCGTAACACAGTTCAACACGTTTATGGGTAACACTCAGACTGTTCGAGTAATTGCTTGGCCCTGTTACGATGGAGAGGGTGAAAGGTTTGACCTCGGGACTGTAGTTGGGTTAGGACTCGAAGGATAGTCGGTAATCTAGAATCAGTCTGTTACACATTACCATCAGTATTTCTGCGTACTCCAGCATACCTAACACAGCGTTGTAGCGAAAACCTGTAAACGACACATGATCGCATAAAACCTTTTATCATTTCGTTTCATTTAAACACGGTTTTATCTATTCTTCAGAAATTTACATCGCCATTCCCCTACCGCCAGCGGTATGCGTACATGTCTCTGCTCCTGAGCATTGTGATTGCATACGCTCCTGTTGCACCCATCATACTTTTGTTCGGATTACTCTATTTTGGTTGCGAGTACTTCGTGTGCAAGTACGTCATGGTGAACCTGTATTACGCTCCAACGACGTATGACTCATTGCGGAACAAGTAAGTGTCGCACAGTGCCCTATGCATTTCGCCATTGGTTCACTCATCTTCCCTTTATAATTTAATTAAGTTGAATATGCAAAATTGTGATTCATCAGCGTTATCCCATATGTTTCTCTTAACCGAGCGACCCATCGGAGGCGTTCCCCGATCGCATATATCATGTGTCGTGGTTCATCCAATGCACTCGCGCTGGTCTCACCGGGATTTGCTTGGCCTGCCTGAACCTGGTCGTGTTCTTCGGTCTTCGGGTGAAAGTCGCACAGAACAAGACGGTCAGCTACATCCTTTTCACTTTGCTTATTACTTCGATTATCGTTTGCATCCTGCTTCCTTGGATTCCAGATTATAGTTGTGACTGGCTTTACCTCCTCTGCTCGAGCAGAAAGGATGCATCGGTGAGCCTCTAGTGGAGGGATTGTTACGATTTTTGTGTTACTTTTGCGAGTAATTCATGATGAACCCCCGTCGGCTCCCGTTGGCAAGTGGTATAAGCTGCTGGCTAATCGCGCAAACCCTTGGTGTCTAGAGATTGTGGGTTCGATTTCTGGTTGAGTCTGAAGATATTGAAGAGTATCATTAGGACAAAGCAGCGAAGTGATACTTTACTGGACGCATGATGTCAATCTGACTTGTGAGTAGTGCAACAAACTCACCAAAATGTTCTGCAGCTATTGATGAATAGCTCTTGTCACAGGTATAAATGTCCTCTGCATGGAATAAAGTCAAAACCCACGTACAGTATTTATAAAAATTTCAGCTTTAGTGTTGCTAAAGGATTACCACAATTCAGAAGAGTGCATACAACGAACGTGGATGTGATTACCTACGTTATTGGCAGTTGATGTGTTTCATGTTGTAGTGTTTATTGCAGTTTCAACTCGACACTACACGATGGAAATATTTACAAACTAGAGTCAAACGGCGGATCGTCTGTTACAGTAGTTCATTTGTGGCAATATTGTCCATTTCGAACGGGCTGAAACCATCGCGGTAGGAAACCTGCATACCTACCTTATCTTGTGAACAACATTGGGCTGTAAACTCAGTAAGTTTGGATGCATCCATTTCAAACAGAGCAATAACTGGAATCCCCACAAGATCGGCCGTAGCTTCGTGCAAGTTGGAGGCCAGACCGAGGTCGATTAACCTGCTTCCTCAGTGCATTACCAAGCCAGACGAGTGACTGTGGGTCACGGACTGCGAGTGTGGTGTAGGAAACAGACCCAGTATTACTGTTTGGGACCACCCGCCTCGAATAAGTCATGCTCTAGTAAATCCCGCATGATTTGCTCTTTCAAATCGAACCCCACACATGCGTGCTTACATTCATTCGGACCAACTTAACGAGCGCTACATATCATACTACATATTTTGCATCTATTTGGTGCGGGTTGTCTTTTATTTTTACATCGCAATTTTTACACATATCCAGCAGGAACACAGGCGCGCAAGTTTTCAAATATTGAGCCACACGAAAACATTCGTGGTCTAAAACGTAAGTCCCCTCCCTTTGCCCTTGTACACAAGGGCACCCTTCAGTTCAGGAGGTACCTCCTCCTCAATCCATACCCGTTGCACCAAGTGGTGCAGCGCAGTCACCAACACGCGTCCACCGTGTTTCAATATTTCAGGTGGAATCCCGGCGGCACCGGCACACTTGCCGTTTCCCAGCTGAGCAAGTGCTCTCTGCGTCTCATCCAGTGTTGGCGCGCCCGCCAGACTCATATTCAAATGGTATTGCTTGAGGCCGTACAATGTAGGCCAGTCAATCTCTGAACGGTTGTTCAAGAGACACTCAAAGTGATTTTGCCAGGTCTGCAGTCTGAGTGCAGGTAGCCCCTGAACTACCATCGATTGGCGTCCTCAGCAACTTCAACATCGGTCCATACACCGCCTCCAAAGAGTTAAAGAATTCCTTGTGTTGGCGGTGTTCGGCGTAGCATTGCATCTGCTTCGCCTTCTCCGTCCACCATGCATTTTTAATGCGACGGAGCTCTCGGGTCAGTCGCCGTCGAAGTTTGCGAAACTGACTACTCTTCCCCAAGTCACTGGGGTCTGCCACATGTGCAGCAAATGCTGCATTCTTCTCCGACACCAATGCGCCAATCGTCGCATTGTTGTCATCAAACCAATCAGGTCGCTTACAGTTTGCGCGCCCGATGGTCTCCTCGGCAGCAGCTGTCACTTGGTCGCGAATGTGGTGCCACAGGTCGCCCACTGTGGCTATGCAGTCCACATCACACACGCGTGCAGCCTTCTCCAGCTCAGTACGTTTCGCCACAGTACCGAGGGAGAGAATGTTAAATTTACGCCAATTCACGGCGGGAGTGCAATACGCAGACTTACGAAAATATATCTATAACTAGGCCCTCTCCAATTTGTGGTCAGTGCCACACTCGGCTCCACGCAGTATACGTGTCATGCGCACTTCACACATGTCAGGCTGACGTACAATGACATAGTCGAGCAGGTGAGCGTGACCACTCCGTGGGTGCGTCCAAGTTGCTATATCACTCGCACTCAGTGCAAATCGAGTGTTCGTAATCGTCAGACCGTGTGTGGCACACAGTGAGAGTAGTCTGTCACCGTTCGCATTCGCTGAACCAATGACATGCGGACCGATAATACCTGTCCACACAGATGCATCGCGCCCAACGCGCGCGTTGAAATTACCCAGCAGAAATAGTCGGTCGCTCTTCGGCACAGACAGTATCACGGAGGATAGCTGAGTGTAGAATTGAGCACGCGTGTCATCAGGATCGGACATGGTGGGACAGTAAGTGCTTATAAAAGTAGCAAACTTACCTCTTCCGAGTCGTAGGCGAACAGTCATCAGTCGCGCGCTGATGCCTGTTGGTTCACCCACGAGTTTGCAATGGAGGCGATCGGATGTTGCGAATCTGACCTCATGATCACGTGGCGCTGAGGCGGCGTTGCCCACCCAGTAGAATGTGTAGCCAGCATCTGCTTCATGCAACTTAACTTACTCAGCGAGCTCGGTTTCACTGAGCGCCGCAATATGGATGTTGTATCGCGCCAGTTCCATCGCGACTAGTGCAGTGCGTCGCTCGCTGGAGTTCCGGTCCCATAGTGCGCGCACGTTCCAGCATCAGATACTGAGTGCTTTGCGCGCAGGCATACGATTGCATTGGTGGGTAATCGCACGCGAGATGGCGGTTGTGCTTCGGAGGTTTGCTTGAGAGACCTTGCCCGGAGCCTTTGCCTCAAAAGCCTGACCCACAAGGCAGTGGGAAATATATATATATATATATATACCACCAAAGTTACGTTACCAGGACATGATTAAAGTGAGCCTCTCACGTTCTAATCTTGATTGCAGATCATGGGAATCGAAGGCGGTTGATCGGCGTGCATGGCGCGATCTGATCACGAAAGCAGTTGCCGAGGTGCAGGAGAAAGCCCTCATGCATGCAGAGAAGAAGCGGCAAGTGCGGAAGCAGTAAGCACCGATGGGTTGTTCTCCATCGACATCAAGCGCATGGTGCTGTAGCACATGCGGTCGAGGGTGCCTGAGTTAGGCACGCTTAGTGAGCCATGAGCGAGGCCACTCGGGACCACTGCCGAAGCGACGACGGGTCCTGCAGAGAACGTAGGCAGAACCAGCGCAGCGTTTGTAGGTACGCTCCATTCAGTTTACTAACCGCGTGGTTGCATACTGAGTTTCTTTATTTCAGGTGGTGGGTTTCCCATTTTGTCCTAACGCTTTCCTTTCTCATATAAATGTCTACCTGTACGCTCTTCTATAAACTTGCACACGTTGCTTAAACCAATTGTAGTTAATTTCGATAACATTTTCGTGTTTGTGTCATTTCCGTAAAATATGCTTTCTGATCCCCTGAACTTATCTCGGATCCTTTGTTAACAACTTATTTCACATGCTCATTTATTTAAAATTTTTGTCACGTTTCCTTATGCGTTACTCGATTTCTTTGCTTTACTTTATTTCGCTCAAGTGATTGGCTGTTGTTTGATATCCCCGATGTGGCTGCGCTCGATGTTCATGTTGACAAGGTGCCTACCTGTCTATTACCCACTACCTCGTCCATACTGGCTCTAGGAGATAGTTGGTCGTTGCTGGAGGGGACGGGGTGCACAGTTCTTGTGGATCAAAGAGTGGTTCCATGCAGTCAGTGTGGAGCGGACTACGGTCCAGCCACCGCTTTGTGTGCGCTTGATTCCCAAATACAGCGTGCTTGTGTTTGCTTGTGAAGGAGTGTGGGCCGGCTCCGTTGATGAAACATGGCTCCCATCCGCATGCCTCCCGGCCTTATTCCTTCGGGTTTACACTGGACATGGGTGTGTGGTTGGAGCTGTCGGTGGTGCAGCACGAGCCACCCATGGTCCCTCTGTAGGCGCAGGCGTCCTGTGGCTGGCCACAGTGACAGGCAAATCCGAAACCGGATGCCGCCAACCATATATATTCAACATCAGCCATAGTACATTTGGCATAGTGCCACACTATAGGCACTATTGGAGCTACTCGATCCTTACGTATCGTAACTCGAGTGACCAGATTTGGTCTGACCTATCTCGACGTTTCCATCCTGTCCGGATGATAACTCTTCAAAACTACTCTCTGTGAAGGTACACAAGCCCCTAACCGATCGCATAAGGGCTTATTTTCGTCCGTAGATAATGCCCATAGGAATGTAAGAAAACATTTTTACAAAGAGATCTCTTTTCGGTAACTCACATCAGGCATACGTTTACAAGCTCAACTGGGATACTCATAAGCTAATGGAAGCTGAAGAGAAAGTAGGAGAGACACATTGTCGGAGCTGAGTTTGTCAATCTGGATGACGATTCTTGAAGTTACGAAGCCGCTTTAGGATAACTTCGCGTATCACGCGCGTCAAAGTTATTTTACAAAATCTGAATGCAGTACAGCACTAGTGACCTTGAAATAAGACAATGTTAACAGTATTTGGTGGAAACGGTTGATTCGACGGTAGATAGATCAGGCAAAAACGATGTTCTAATGAAAAGGCAATGGTCGATTTCAAGACCCGCGTCACACACAACGGTAAGCGGCAACCGTTTCCAAAATTAACTATCAATGAGACTGCGAACAGGACGACTGCTTTCGCAGAGGAACCATGGGTCGCTTTCGCTGTACCACCCACCGTTAGGGCGATTCACTGTATGATTTCAGTTTGGGTTTCAGTTGCGACACTGCATGTGTTCCGCGTTGCTTCGCGTGCAGCAAGTAGGATTTGCCCTTGTAATTGAGTTACATGCATCGGACAATTACTGCTCTTTCTGCATCCGATACTGGCAGTTTGGACAAATTCGTTTTTATTCTTCGGCTTATGTCGAGAAAGTATGTGCAGCTTTTATTCTAGCTTTCATGTACTCTGAAGCCACTTCCTGTATGTCGTGATAGCTATCGCTTTTTCAAGCACTTTCGTCAACTGCGCTCCGAGGTTGGATAAGCTTATCTATTTTTGTTGGTCCATTATGAGTTGATAGTTGCGCCTTCGGCTGTGTGCCTCCGTAATAAGTAGACGTAGATTTCCTCTTCCAAGCCAGATGGTTGTTGACTGGAGGAAGATAATTTATACTCGGTGACAGGTCACTTCTTAAGTATCCGTGTAGGAAGAATGGTAGCTTTAAGTGAAGAAATGCCAGTTGGCATAGGTCTCTTATAGACGAGCAGATTAGAGCGCGTCAAATCGGTAGACTGGAGGTTTTGCTCCCTTAGGGATCAACTTTGGTCGTTCTTGAGGCCCAAACGTCACGCTAGATACAGAGGTAACTATGTGCGCTTGTTTCCATCCTCCCGAGAAACAGGCTGGCATCACAATCAGATCGCGTGAGAGTGCAACTGCATCGTGTTTTAAATGTGGAAGTCACTATGACTTGCGCCCGATTATGGCACCTTCTCGGGGAAAAATTTCTTAGTGGAGCAGAGAGGAAAAGTACCTGGCGCTGAATAAAGCACCGTTACACAAGCCAGAAAACATGTACCACCGAATCACAGTTACTTGACAATGTACTGTGAGGTTTCTGTTATGTGGGCATGCTGGACTTGTAGCGAATAATAAAAACACCCGCAGTTGCAACCACTTCTTCTTCTACAACTTAACCTTTCACCAAGCTACAATTTAGCGAAGCGCACGTTAAACCAAAAATTTACAGGCAAACATAATTCCTTATAATGTTTAACTGGCACAAAACCATCATCATCCCCATTCAAAACATTCGTTACCACGAATGGGCATTTGTTCACATGTTTAACGAATGTGCTTGTTAGTACTAATTATCATTTTCATTAGCCCCGCCGACGACCTTTGTTTCACTTGTATATTGACGGGCATGCAGCTATTTGCAACGTGAAACAATACTTCGGATGATATCCCGATAATATACAGAACAATTATTAGATGCTTTGTGGTCAATGGCCAGAATTGATCGTTCCAACGCGCTTATTGTCACCTATACAAAAACTCTTGGGACGCTCGGCCCTACATAAGTATCTACTTTGATTGTGTTAAGTAGATTGAAAGTAGAACTGTTTCATTTACCACGTTCACTTTCAAGAACCTTCTCTTGTGTTTGTACTCAAAAACGCTACATTTGTGCAAGACTGTGTGCACGAGTACTGAATGTAAGCCTCAACGTCTGTGATATACCATTGACTTGAGGACGGTGAATTTTCCGCCCGCTTTTAACCACTCATCCGCCGATTTTTCTAGGTGACACAAAACTGCAAATGATGATCTAATACATTCTGGTTACGTGATTCAGATCCACGTCAATGAGCTAACTAGGAAAGTGCGGTGTAAATCTATACGATTCGAGCATGTTTGAGTGTATAAACCAGTGCTCCGCTGTTAAGTGTTAGAGCATTCCTCCAAGTCCAGGATAAGCGTGCTCTGAAGATAGAAAGCAATGCCTATTCATCGGCTGATAAGACAAGCCAACATAGGATTTGGGACAGACATAATACTCTGTGCTCCAGGAGTGTGTTCTCTGCACATGACCCTACACTAGATGACACAGGGACGCATATATTGGTACTACTATGGCTTCCGAAAGCGGCTATCTGCGTGACGATTTACGTGTAGTCCCGCGTTTACCTTCCAGCCTAGACGAAGTCTGCAGCTTAATCAGAAAGGTGGCTGTCTTACCGTTGCCGTTTTCTTCCCTTACAATAATCAGGTGACTGATTTGATGAAAATGAAATCTGGCCGTTCTCTGTCGCGTAGGGTTCCTCACGAGGACAAGTTTGACAGTTGGCTTAAGTTTTATTATCTAAGGTTTCACTCATTTGAATTGGTTTTACTATGCAATCAACTTTAACGAGTATCGGTATGTTGTTGACAGCAGTGATACCAATTTGATACCGGGAATCCGGACGAACAAGTGCATACCACGCTAACTCCACATTGACCATTTGTATACCAACAGGTCCTTCAGTCCCAGTATCCCCATTCACTGGCTGCACAGGAATTACTCACCCCATCAGATGATGAGCACCCTCAATGTCAACATGAATACATTGCGCCCTTTTTACGCGACCTGGTGAATCCGTCTGTGACCTGAAGCGGATAGCCTATTTGACCCCCATGTCCTTTGGAATTGGAAGGTTTCTCTCTTCGCACAGGCATCAAACAACGACTTTCCTCAACAAACATAAAAGGATTCATAGTTCAACAATATTTGGCGGAACTTAAGTCTTAATCATACCACGGTCAGATTATCAGCTACAATTAATATCTAAGCTTGTGAATATTAGTATCCGTTCGACCTTTGTCTCAGTTCTTTGTACTCGCTACCGCTTCCTGTGAGAATATGAATCCCATTGGTCTACCACTCTTGTGTTTTTGTGATTCCACTGATTTTATTATCGTTTTGATACCGTCGCCTGACGTGCTGTTCACAAAACCTGGAATATGTGATATTTCAAATCACAAAGGGACTCACGCGAGTTCCATTTTCAGTGCCCCTATTGGTAGATAACAACCTATTGCGAAGCGCATATACGCTGTTTTCAGTAGCATCCCATTGTGATCATAGACGCTATCTGTACTAAGCTGAATTTTCAATCTTTACTATGGCAAGACTGTCCGTCATTGATTAGAATATGCGAAGACTGCTCTCCAAAGCTCCATATGAGGTCGCGCACTCGGGTACTTTCATATCTGTCAGTTTATCGCTGTTCAGCGATGATAGCCAGCTCATACAGTCCGCAGCCGTCTGTAACACTGCAGGCATCGGCTGGATCCGTAAGGTTTGCTAACCCTCAGTCACCAAGGAGAGGTGGAATATAGGCCTAAAATCCGCAACCTATTCAGTAATAATACCCATGCAAAAGCCATGGGTACTGTGAGACTGATCGTGTTGGGCCAGTAATTCCCAAAGCACCGCTCATGTGTCTGATGGTACCCACGGTCGAGCAATACCGAAACCCACCATTCGGTGTCCGATAACGGAACATTTGGTGCACAAGAGCCACATACGCCTGCTAGATTGTCTTTTACTGTTGTACCTCACGGTTACCTGGGTATATGACATTATACTTGGTTTGGACTAATTCTCGGAGAACTCCCAAGATGAAACGACAAATGGGTTGGAACAGCTGTACCAAAGACTTGAGTGATTTATTGTATGTCGTTTTAAGGCGGAGATAAATGTAGTAGTAGTAGTAGTAGCAGTGCCAATGGTGGAACTGTGTCGAACATGACACAGTCACGAATTCAGCGACTTCCCAGCATGAGGCCCAATGCTTGTGACCATTCACATGCTCCAATTTCTTTTACATTAACCCGTCTTCTTTCTCTCTTTCATCGACTTCTTGTTGGCCTTGTAGGCAACATTAAACCTAGGAACTTCGCTCACAATACGTGTCAGCTGTACGCCGTAACGGCGTTTCGCTGCCGTGAGACCACCACCAGTCGCACGCGGGCTGAATATACCACGAGGACGCCCACTCCTACGCGGATTCGAACTCGCGCTGCATTGTGACTCACAATACTCCAGTGCTCGAGCAGTTGGACGGAATACCGGCCTAATCGGGTCCAAGGGGGGCAAATTGTCGACGCACTCCATGTCACCTGACTCTAAAAATTGACGCGCCTTTTGTAGTATTAGACATGAACAGCATTCTCTACAAACTGGACCGTTGAGCTAATAAAGTAAGAAATGGGGTGACCCTGAAGCAACCCAATGACTATGAGGAACTCGAAAGACAGCTTCTCACAAACTATTGCTCATGCGATAGCTCTGAAGAGCAGAGCAATCAGGCAAAATCTACTTCTACGGCCACAATTTCAGTGATGTGCGACTTTACCGATGGATGCGATCGACCGGACGTAAGGTGGTCTTAAATTTCTAGAAGGGTGAGATGTGGGATAAAATTTACTCAGGAAGAATTTTGATGACGAAAATTGTCGTAAAGTAGGGAAAACCAACTGAGCAAACAGCGGTCATCTAATAAAGAAATGCAGTGACAAGCGTGTTTTCCTGATTTTTAGAGTGCAAATACACAGATTGTTTACCATCATTTAATGGAGCAGGGGTCAATATGGATTCCGCTGATCGTTTCTGGCAAGGAGCAGTGATATCAGCAGTATTGTTACTTAAATTTCAGCCCGGTGTGCAGCTAACATAGTAGGATGCAGCTGTCACGTATTCGTGCTATGGAAATATTGCGTAGGCGTATGGGGTAATAAGCGTCAGAAGCCAGTCGAGTCAATCGCTAGCGTTTGCTACTGCGATCAGGGGTGAATTGTTTTCGGTTACACTAGGAAAAATAGACGACGTAGACAAAGTGAATAGTATTCGCACCGTTTGGGTGAAGCTGCGCAATGGGCTAGAGGGTACATTTTTCTCTACTGGGCGTCGTTGAATCGTATCACACCAACAGTGACATTCGGATACGCATAAGTCGCCATTCCGTTTAGACTGGTGTGCGCAGAATTGACCGCTTCTCTGAGTAGAGAAACGTTCCCAGAGGACTCTGCGTCTCCAAGTAGAACGTCCCACGGGAACCGACTCCGAATTATTTGTCGGTATAAAATGGAGTTCAATGAGACTAGATCTCTTTTGGTGGCGTAGACCTGAACGGCGTCGTATCTAGCCATTTGTGGTCGTATGGAAAAGTAGCTTGTCAGTCTGAAGCTCGAATTCTTAACACACCAGAAAAATCTGCTCTGGTTAGATTGCCACAGTTGAGTATCGCATAATATTCGCGGTTTGAATTCGCACCGAGGCTGACACCCTTGAAGGTTCCCAGTGCTGCGGTTCAGTTGGACTTCGTTGCAGAAAGCCTAACTTTGCCGAAAACCGCGGTATAAACGGCTCAAATAAAACGGTTGAGATAATCGTGGCCAGATGCTTGAATAGTCCGATAAATGCTGTGAACGGCATTTGGAGGTCCAATAGGCCGCAGCGCGCAATCGCTCTTCCAGATTTTGATAGGCACGTGTTTATTGTGCAATACTGTTTGCCGTCTGTGAGGTTTTAGTCGTTCGCAGTAGGATGATTACCAGTTTGAACAGTGATCAAAGCTGCTGGAGTAGGTGCCGATGAGATAAAATGATACACATGTTCTACATATATACCATCCGGAAAAACATATGAAGCAGAAAGCTGATAAACGTCCTCCCTAAATTCCAATTAATTAATGACAGGAAATATGTTACTCAGTTAAGTAACCGGTTTACTGAGACCTTATCAGCGAAAATTCCAACACACATGCATGATTCCAATGATGTCCCAGAAACGGTTGCAACTGCAACTACAGGATGACAAATTGCGACGCCCGGATAACTTGAACGGCAATGGTCGACAGAGTGCAAAGCTGGATGTGTGATCATAAAATGTATTATGTCTTCTCGGAAGCTAACGCAGTCCAGGTAACTGGCAAAAGAAGCTAAACACATGCCAAACTACTTGCTGAGTTGATTATTTCATTCTCTTAGTGTAATCTGAGAGATTTCCTCTTTGCTAAAATTATGATAAGCAACCCCAACCATCATCGGAAATGATTGCCGGAAACAAAAACTCCATTCTGCCAATGTTCGACCAGATTAGTACGTGGGCGCAAGTAAAGGTGGTCACTAGTTTAAATGCGTCGCATGGTTCTGACCGTTATCAGTTGACACACTAAAACTTGAAGAAAAGAGGGAAGCAGCAGCAAATTAAGTCTCGGTACGATGGATGCCGATGATGAAAGAAGAAGTAGTAAATGAAGGCATTGATGAGTTGAAGTTACGCGAATTGGTATCTTGCTGTTTATGATGCTGTCGAAAAACAGGAAAGAGAAACGATTCAACTACTCCGGAAATCATATGATTTGGATTCAAGGCTCACTTTGTGAACTGTGTTTCTGTGACAACTGTGCATCGGTAAAGCAAAGCAGGGAGGTTCCTCACATGCTACAAGTGATGACGAATGAGATCCAATGGGTGCTCGGTAGTAGCATAATTAAAGCGCCGCACAAGCCTCCAGCGAAGTAAAACCGTTTTGAGGATGACCAGGCGGTCAGCTCCCTCTAATCCATCAGTCGTAATAAATCGATAGTGCAAAGTGGCGTGGGCAACATAGCCCATTTGTGTCATATACATACGAAAGTCATATGTAATGACCTTGTCGGAGTGAAAGCTGGATTTCCTGGGGATGGTGTGGGATCAAAGTACTGAACGAACCAGAGTAATGACCCCGAGGGAACCGATAATAACCATCGTAAAAGATCTCATGAAGCGCAAACGATTGGAGCGGAGCCTATGGGCTTAGAAAGTTTATGTAAGAGGCAGAGACTAAGTGCCGAGTAGTCGCTTTTAGAAGCAAATACACAGCATACTGCGATAGTAATTTTTACGCCAGTAAAATATATAAATTTACATCTCACGAAGACCTCACAGTTATAATTCTGATCTAAGATAGCTATGTGGTAAGCAACAGGCCCTAGCAAAATGTTTCGCATCCAAATTACGCACTGGGCATTAAAGAAAGAAATTGGTGTATTTCCCGATGAGCGGGGTGCGTTCTCTTGTGAGTCATGATAGGTACACATGATAAAATAAGCGCACTTTAAATTGGGAAATTTGGCTGCTTACTATGACACAAGATGTATGAAGTATACACACATCAAGTCTGAGCTCGTTTGTCGTCCTCTACGTGCTCAAAGAGGTCTGATCTCCCTCGACTATGAAGTTAACAGTTTCGGGCTGTGCTTTGCACCCTCCAAGATTGGCAGAGACCGGCTCCTGCACTGACCCTTGATGCGGATCACCTAGAAGTCGGCAAAAAATCAGCTATCTAAGCAGCTGTATCAGCGCCTGTAGAATCCAAGGCGACGTCACACACCGTATAACAAAAGCGCCTCAAGCTTTTGCTAACCTATGACGCTGGCGCGATATCACTTACTCCCTGAAGGGTAAAGTGTACATTTCAGCTGTACGTTGGACCCTCCCGTACCGTTGTGAAACAAAGCCCATTAGATCAGTCGACATACAGAGGCTAGTTACTTCGAAATTGGCCTCGGTTTGAGCCTTTTGGTACACCGGCTGCGGTCAGAAAGACATTCGGCTGAATACACTTGTTGGCATGGTAAGAAGTCGACCACAAAATCGTTTGTATTGTGAGTTTGTCTCTGCTCCGCTCGCTTATTCACCTCACCAACCAAGATTTCATTCCCTAGGCAGAATATAACTCTTTTTTCGGCACAATAGCCGGCTAGTAAGTCTCTGGAACGGTGCTTATCCGTTACTGGCGACGCAGCCGGCGTACCACTGTTGCATGTTTTTCATTTTTTATATATTGCAGCACAATAGCGGAGGTATTCTCCATCTCCAGATAAGGTGTAACGTGATGATACGGATGGCTGAGATGAAGTCAACAACTCTTACCTGTAGGTTCAATACCGAAGATCACGATCTGAGTTCGGCCTCATTCTTACGCTTCGAAAAGGGCTTGCCATTAGATAGCTAAAAGAGGACAATGCAGTAAACGGAAAGGAGGCGCACTCCTCTTGGTGCTAAAGAATCCTCGTAGTTCACTTTCTTATTATACGGCCTGAATGACTGCTAAGATTCAGACAGTGTACCTTCGTGTGGAATTCCTAAACGATAAAAGTACTCGGATGACTGTTTCATCGTTTCGAGCCTCATGCTGTGTTGTGCGCTTGCGCTGGATCCGAATGATGATAAAAAGCGCGCTCGCAAGCTAGCGAAGAGGGCGGTTGGAACTTTCGGGTAGAGATGAAAGGAGGCAAACAGCGTGTCTAAGTATCCCCACTGACTCATCCGGACTAGCTACTATCCGGTAGCTGCGGTATATCCTTTGGGTCAGTGGGCAACGAGAACACATATAGAAATGATCATGTCTCTTCGCATGACTTATCAGACGGTTGCTACGCTCAGGTAGGCGAACTGCGGACCATGGATATCGAATGGGTCTAGGTCGATCAACGTACACTCCGTCCGCAAGCTTAAAAACCTATTGTCTCAAAACCACACCATTAATTGGAGTCATCAAGACATGCGGAAATCAAAAAGAATGGGTAAAAGGACAAACGGCGAATATGAAAGGTATCTGTGGGCTATACAAACTGAGTGTACCGCATGACAGATCTCAATATACAGCTTAAAGTTGGCTGGTCCTCCCAATGCAAGCCACAAATGCACTCATGCCGATTTTTTGCCATCTAGGTATATTCGTGTTTAGGCACCAAATAGGACGCTGTCCACCAATCCATTGGGGTGTCACATCATTTTCGGATCAAGTGGGTTTAATGTGCGGTGCGGCGCTCGATGCTATGATATGCTAAACACGATGTGCAGAAATGCAAAGCGATGGGAAAACGAAAGCGCATCCGGCCCAGTTTCGTTGATGTGCTAACTCGATATTCACCATGCACATATCACTTATGCGTAATCTGATGAAACAAAACTCGACTCTAGGTGAACCCGATCCGGAGTTTCTTGTTCCGCGAGAGAAGGACAGGTAGCTGCAGAGGGACATATCCCGAACCCGAACTGCAAAAGTGGAACTTCCAAATTGCTCGTGTTCGATTTGCATCCTTAGCGTCAGTTTGGCGGTCAAATAAAAGATAGAAGTCTCATTCGGAAGGAAGAATTTGGAAACTGAAAACGATTGTTGCTGAGGAAGCGATGTACACTTGGGCGGATACGAACATTCAAGTGGTTAGTGAACAACAAACAAAAGTTAAGCAGAGCTGCTGTCCAATTGCGATTCATGCCGAAGAAATTATGCTGCCTTGAGGGTACAAAGGCTGCCTAAACAGCGGTAATCGAACGGGTTGCGGAGAATCGAAGCGTAAAGAGGGGTCAGGAAATAAAGGGGAAATGTGGGACGTAGGCCAAGGGTCAAGACATACGTTATTCAGGAAAATGATAAGGGCAGCGTGGGACTTTGATCTGTGATCACTGACTCCGTTCGTGGATCTCCCATTTTTGAATGAGTTGCTCTGATGCAGTCCACAAATAGTCACCAACTTTCTCATTAAAAGCCTGAGAGTTCACTTGACTCGCTCTGCATTCGACGTAGTAAGCACCGGGTGCAAGGTCATCAGCCAGACAGCAGTAAACAATAGTCTGCGACCCTTGCCATGGAGACTTGGCCAGTCCAGAAAGCAACGTGTGTACGACCCACTGTGAAGGAAAAGCAGTGGTACGTATAGAGAGCTAGATAGATGAGAGGTTCGATAAAATTCTCACTGATAAGAGCACGCGATCCTTACTAAAATAACACTACATGGTTCATTTGTTAGATGACTTCGTCACAGCAGCTGGTAAGTAGCACATATGGCCATGAGAGAAGCGTAGTGACGAAAAATGGAACGACTCCAGAAGTACACATTTTGTGCAGACCACGGGAGTGAAGTCCATGATAAAGTTAAACCTCGGAAAAGCTGCTAAAAAAGGATCACCTTAACATCAACTTGTAGCAATGCTAACCACATTAGTGATTAGTCACCCAATGTGAAAAGGTAGAGTTGCATCGTCAATGGTGTATTAGAATTGGGACCATCGTTTCTAGCGGAAAATCTCTCCGTTTAAAATGTATAACTTTTCCGGGCCAAGTGCTAGTTGAATTTTGATTGCTTGATAACGACTTTTCCATAGTCCCCAGTGAAACGCTTAGTGAATATTGTCGTGGTAATAACATCAGCAGTATGCCGATATTTCGAGCGACGCTTCGCTGCTACCTAAACACCGCAAATTGTGCGAGGGCTAAACATACCGGCCGGTGGCCGAGTGGTCTGCACGTTTGGTTTGCAACCATGAGGTCACCGGTTCGAATCCGTGTAGAGGTGGGCGTCCTCGCGGTATACTCAGCCCGCGCACGACTGGTGGTGGTCGCGCGGCAGCGAAGCGCCGTTACGGCGTACAGCTGACATATTATTATTGTCATTTATTAATTACGTAGAACGGAACCGGCGGTTTATGGATTACTAACCAGACGCCTTTCTTACTCGACCATCGGCTGAAGATGAAAGTATTGACTACTGGGTCGTGCGAGTTTGATGGAACAAACTAAACGGAATCTGTACAGGTGCCATGTCAAACAAAGCTTTTATGCTAATCAGCAAATGCTGCCTTCATGTATCGTTACAACGATCGGCACGCGACAGGAGGGGATAGCCTTTGGAAAACACTTGGATCGTTTGGTCAAACGCTTTGAGGAGAAAGTTAATCAGCCAGAAATAACAGCATCATTGCCACCCAGTGAATGCCATGCTCCATGGATGGTCCTTTCGAACACATTATCGCGCACATATGGCGAATATGAGATCTGATTGTTAAAATGTGGAAAGCCGCAGGGCAAGGTGGACTTTCTCCAGCATTCTTAAAATTCTGGGAAGCGACTCTTGTAGATGATTTGCACGATATCGTAGGGAAACTGTGGGAACTGTAAACTGTCCCAACCCACTGGAGCTATCCCACTATAGTTTCAATTTCCAAGGGGAATCATGTTCGGAATTCAGTAACCATTGAGGAACCAATCTCCATTGCCAATAAAGTGCTTTCTCATACTGCAGAGTGCCTGGCGTCCGTGAAAGTCAGATATCCGAGCAGCATGTTGTTATAGGAAATCGAGACTGCACTGATCACGTCATCAATACACGCCAGCTATTGGAGCACTATTACATGGCAACTTACTCTAATCGTGTTCCTCGGCATCAAAAGTTCCTTCGAATCGGTGGACTGACCTGCGCTTTGGGAATGTCTGTTTAAGAAATTTGTGTCTAAGAAATACGTAAATATGATAAGAGCACTTTACTCGCGTAGTTCGGACACAGTGACGACTTGTGGTAAACTGTTGCAGCCCTCTAATATCTCCAGAAATGTAAGAGAGGATGTCAGCTTTCACCTTTCCTCTTTAAGTATGCAACTGACGGTTATGGAGATTGAGTTCATTGGACACGACGTATAGGGTATGGAAATGCTTCTAGGCGACCACGTTCTTCGCTTTCAAACAGCTCGCATCGTCGACAGCAATTCAGTTTACTTAACCTGCGACAAATTACTATCCTACCAAGCAGCATTGAGTGGATTAGCAGTGGTTGTCAACCGTTTCAGTCTGTGCTCAGCACCCTCCAAGTGCAGAGCTTTCCTCTAAGGTTGGCAAGGATCCGCGCCTGCGCTGACCGCTTGTGGAAATCAGCTAGAAGTCGTTCAGAAATACAACTACTTGGGCAGCTATACCAGTACCTGTGGTCACAAATTCTATAGTAAAAGCACCAGAAGCCTTGTAAACCTACGCCCTCGTGTGGCGACGACGCGACACTCATCCTGAAGCGTAGTTTAAGATGCAACCGCCTGTGCGACCCTATCGTAGGGCTGTGAAACTTGGTCTATCAGATCAATAGACGTAAAGAAGCTAGTTATGTTTGACCAGCGGTACCTTCGCAGTTGGGTTTTTATTCGTTGGAAACACTATGTGGGCAGTGAGCGTCTTTGGTGTCGTGTTACTGACCCAGGAACAGTAGGTGAATCGCCCCGCGGCATTATTCCACGCACCAGGTTTCGATGGATAGGTCATGGGTCATGCGTTGTTTGCGCAACGGGGCTCTGTGTGGAAGAGAAGGAGGGGTCAAGGGATGGCTTGGTCAAGAAGAATGAGGACGTTGACTTGGAAATTGGCCTCGGTTGATGCCTCCGGACTCCGGGATTGAAGTCTCAGATGATGAACAAGATCGGTAGGCGACATTTGTTGACAAGGCCAAAAGCCGACCTTAATGGCGTTTGTGATGTAAGCTCCTCTTCCCCCCTTATTGCTTATATTCAACAAATATGATCGGATTCCCGATGCATAATAAAACGCAGCATGTATGTTTTGTTTTCTTGTTCATCTAGTTAATTTTTAAAAACCACCTGATTGTGGTGCATTACGGCCCCACAGCTGTCTTGTGTCCCAGCTCTGGCTAACGCGAAGTATGGATGAATGTATGGTAAGGGTTTGTAGTTTAAGGTAACAAGAGTACTACAAAACGATGGTTACCGTGGAAAATGTTCGGTCAAACATGTGAGCACCAATGCGAGAAATAACTGCCTCCGATGGATATAGACTAAAATCACCTGTTCGAGTTTGGATACATGCGCCTTTCTCACGCTACAGACTCCTGTTATGTGAATAACAACGACGAAATCTAAAGATCACTATATGGAAAAAAGCAAGCGGACACTAGACGGGATATTAGTTCATCTATTCGGATGATATGGTTGAAGATCATCGAGACTCTACTCCGTCGAACGAACCTCAGAACAATTTGGGCGAACAGTGAGGGGCAAGCAAGAATGGAGCAAAACGCAGTGTAATAAAAGCTCGAGTGGCAAGAGTCAACGCCGAACAGAAGAAAGTATTTGAACAAACCATCCCATTCAGCACACGATTGAATATCTAAGTGGAGACAGATCGAAAGAACAAAAACATTAAAACCAGTTAGTAAATATGGTGAGTGCCCGCAGCCGCAATGGGAGCACTGGTGGACGGAGTTACAGCATATCTACTGTGCGAGTAAAAGAACGCAGTGAAATGACCGTCAATGAGACATGGTGGTTCTGTACTCAATAGGATGGTCATACAGATTTAGAAAACTGGACAATAAGTCTTGGAATCCGACGCAGGTCACAGTGCGCGTAAGTAATGCGCAGGCAATCGCACCAATTAATACTGTCTTAATTATATATATATATAAAATTAAGACAGTATTAATTAGTGCGATTGCCTGCGTATTACTTATATATATATATATATATATATATATATATATATATATATATATACGGTTGGCGGCATCCGGTTTCGGATTTGCCTGTCACTGTGGCCAGCCACAGGACGCCTGCGCCTACAGAGGGACCATGGATGGCTTGCGCTGCACCACCCACAGCTCCAACCACACACCCCATATCCAGTGTAAACCCGAAGGAATAAGACCGGGAGGCATGTGGATGGGAGCCACGTTTCATCAACGGAGCCGGCCCACACTCCTTCACAGGCAAACACAAGCACGCTGTATTTGGGGAATCAAACGCACACAAGGCGGTGGCTGGACCGTAGTCCGCTCCACACTGAGTGCATGGAACCACTCTTCGTGCCTAGCACGACCACAAGGACCGTGCACCCCGTCCCCTCCAGCAACGACCAACTGTCTCCTGAAGGGAGTATAGACGAGGTGGTGGGTAATAGACAGGTAGGCACCTTGTCAACATGCACATCAAGCGCAGCCACACCGGGGATGTCAAACAACAGCCAATCATTCGAAATGTCGATATCGAATAAAGTAAAGGCAGATGACGACATAAATACTCGCTAAATGAGCATATGGGAGAAATTGGTTATAAGTGAATCCACAAAAGGTAAAAAATGTCTGGAAATTATTTAAAATATACCACGCGATAAAATTACGCAAGTGTACCACAATTTGCATGAGCGATGTGTGCAAGTTAGGAGAAGATTATCAAGTACGCAGAACAAACCAAATAAAGTGGAATAAATTTTATCCACATTAAAATGACCTAGTTTAAGTGTAAGTTGGTTTAGCCCAAATGCAGTGAAGAAGCATCATGAATGCAACATCAGCCTCAGTATGGGGCATTATATATATACATATATATATATATATATATATATATATATATATATATGCATCAGTCTATAAATAGACATTGAGCCATCGAAAAACCATGAAGAACAAAATAAAAAAGTACAAATGTCAGGAACAGGGAACAAATATTTTGGGCTTTTGATTGTTTTTTCTGTTTTTACACGCCATTGTTCTTTTTGTGGCATTTTGAATGGTAAAGCTCTAATCACATTGTACAAAAAATTTTAATATGCAGTACCTCCATTGATTCCGGTTTCGCGACATATCGCCAAGTGTGTCAAGCCATTTGCATTCCTCATCCTTGGGCCCCCAACCAGGAAGACGTACAGGGTCGACGATTGCGAGACAGGTGGTCAGCGATTGCATGGTTTGCTAGATGGCTGACCTCCACGCATTCTCCAATTCAATCCCATGCGAGCAAATAAGGCGAGGCGTGGTAAGCGCTCGCATGAAGTACGTAGGATATGGCCAAGCCACCTCAATTGATGCATTGTGACAAGGCGATCAAACGGTGGGCTCATGTTTCCCAAGATGCGACACCGGACTTCATCGTTGCGAACCCGGTGTTGCCACCACACACAGGCTACTTGCCACAAACATGTGTTGTCGAACGTCGAAAGCCTAAGCTTATTATTCAGACGAATCGGCCAGGACACACTTCCGTACAGTAGGACCGCGCGGACACAAGCGTTGTAGGCCCTTCCCTTTAAGGAGAGGGATATATCCCGACGACGTCACAATGTACATTCATCTTTCCATCCTGTCAATACTCTCACCTGCATCCACTGAGGCATACTATGCAGTGGTCAGTAAGAAAAAGAAAAAAGTCGGAGCGTGGATCAACTTCCAATTACTGATCAGGAAGGTGGAATCAATCTCAAAACCGCATGACGCGACACTTCCTCACTAGGTGTATATTCAGTCCTGTTCCTGGTGACCGTGGAGACAGAAAACCGCATCGCCAAGAAATGTCAAACGACGACTTATCAAATCATTCAATACCAACGAGATCAAGTGTAACAATGCATACTTTAACCTCTTTTAGTGAATATTTAGATGCATGAGAATGCATATTGTGTAACTACTGATTTGTACTCCCTCATGGGCGTAGCTGCTTGGTGCATCGAGAAATAAAACACTAGATTTATCAATTGATAACTCAATCCTCATTCTGAACAACATATACTGCGCTGCAGCACACCACTACACGCTACATGGGATATACAGGGGAAACTAACGTTATTAACTTTTGTGGGAAAAATATGTGAAGTAAACTCACACGGGTCCACGGCATGTGCCTAAATATCTCCGTCTTAGTCAAACCGGGATGAACGCTGACGGCAACTATGTTGGAATCCCTCCAACGTTTGGAGATCTCCTTGGCATGTATAACGTTTGCTAACTTGCTGTTGGAATAGGGTGAACCCACCGTGGGTCGGCACAGATCCTTCGTGTTAAGTTCAGCCAATCGATGATTGAAAGAAGATACGTTAATTACGCGTGCTCCATGCTCCGACGCCTCCAACAGTGGGCAAATAAGCTCGGTGAGTAAAAAGTGGCCCAAGTGATTGATCTTCAGGTGCAATTCTATCCCGTCAGAGTCAAACACTGCGTGACCCAAGTTCACGGCTGCGTTATTGACCAATATATCGACAGAACGCTCTTTTGCTATCATGCGCAAAGCGAAGTTGCGTATGGAAGAGACTGACTGCAAATCCAACTGTTCACACTCTAGCTGTTCGGGAAGAAAAGAAATTGCAAAGCAAGTACCCTTCAAGACAACAAAGAGATTAGACAAAAAAGGCTACGTTGATATTGTGCTGCGATACATGAGACAAGTGTAGGGAAGTTAGCAATCACACCTTACAAACGGTTTGAGCTATCAACTAGCCGGTTGGTTAATGTGTGGACAAATAAAATGAGCGAAATTGTATCCCATGACAAAAAGAAGATAGTGGGTGAACGAAGAAAATGGCGAGGCAAATAACAGAAATGTTACCGCATGGCCAGGTAACTAAGTTTCCTGGCGGGACGAACATGAATGATCACAAAATGCACAAAAATGTCGCAAGTTTGCTAGCCGCATAATAAATGATGCTTGTGTCAGTGTATTCTTTGATGCTGCGAAAGTATCGATGCTATTGTGACTGCCTGAGATCGGATAGCCAATGTGAGAAGAAATCAAACAAAAATGTTATCATGAATGACTGAGGTCCGTGGAATGGAAATGATTATCTAGATAATACTCTTGTTAAAGATCTGCAACCTCCGTTAGGAAACCTCTGGATTAGGTGGATAAGGGTAAATCCAACTGCTGCACAGAGTTGGCCTCTACATGTTTTGGCGGACTGTTCCAAACATTAGCCGCTCTCTGTTCGAAAGACAGGGGGTTAGGTACCCCGCTTCGTGTCCGGCCCCACATGATTGTAGCGATAACTATGTAGGTTAGTTGAGCAGCGGCCTTAGCATGGAGAAGTCCCCGAGATGTAAAATACGGTGAGTCATGATGAGATCGACGTGCATGGCCAATGATAGAACAAGGCGTACAGTTCTAGTCTCTCGAATCGATCTTCGCACGGTACATCCAGTAAACTGGGGATGAGACTGGTAGCGACAAGTTGGACCTCATCCCCGGTAATAAGGCAGTAGGCGGACGAGCAGTACTATAACATTGGTCTTTTGATAGAAGAGGTGAGTGGCGACCTCTTCGGGCCCGGTAAAGAAGCTGTGTTTAACCGCTTAACGCATGCGCGATCCGTTTCGTTGTGGTCTGTACGTGTTGTCCACATACTGCAAATCACAGCGTGAGAGTACACCTAAGTGTTTCACAGAATATATGGGGTGTTGCGGTTGGCTGTCAAGGGTGTAGGTTCGGCCGGCACCACCCTTCCCCAGGCTTATGAATAACGGCTTGGTTGGATTGATCGGAAGGCGATTTAGATCTTGCTGAAGTAAACCGAATTTATCAGAGGTGCTATTCACTTTCCACATATTCAGCCCGTCTGTAAAAAGGGTGTGCAATTAATAACGAGAGAAAATGCTACGTGGTTAGTTTGATAACCCTGTGAGAGTCATTGGTGCTAGTCTCGGAACTCAGCACTCGTCGATACACAGTGCGCCTAATGTGAGTGCCAATGCGACTTGCGGACCTATCTTTCCTAGGACATGAAGGTTACTTTGACTAGAGAAACAGAGCAGCGTGGCCCCCTAAGGAGTTGTCTAGAAGGAGACCAAAGGATGCCGGTGGATTTCAACTGCCTATGGCAGTACTCCAATGGTACCGCAGCTGCCGTTAGTTAAGCTGGGAGTTGTACAAGGAACGCTGGAAGTGGGGGTAGGGAGGAGAATAAAAGAACCAGGCGGAAAATAAAGAAGCAAGGCATCAGCAGTAGACTTTTCCCTGCTGTGTGGGGCAGATAAGGCGACCATTTTGAAGCTGTGCGACGGTAGATACAGGACGTGGCAGAAATATTCTGAAAGTCGTGATTGTACACGGACTGACCTACTGCCATGGTGCCAAAGCCTAGACACGAGGAAACGATTAGGGTGCACGACCAAAGGTCTGTCCACAAGGTAGCTAGAAGATGGCAACGAACCGATTTTACAAAATGGACGCCATCTTCTTTCCAACCCCAAACCTGTAGGATAAGGAGACTGGGTTCACCTGACCTCTAATCACTGACCAAGGCGCCCGAGAGTATAGCCCAAAGGGTTCAAAAGGGACACAAACCGTCTTACCACGTTAAGCTCCCGTCTCGCCACAACAGTCGATCAGAATTCGATTTGGCACGAAAAGGGCACATTAGTCAAAAATATCGTTCGTTGATATGATCCAATACTGTTGTTTTTTGGTCGATAAACGATATTGTCAGCAAATCGTTCCTACGAATATGTAGCTCGTGCTGCGGGGCAGACCGATGCTTTCCGGTGCGTATAGACGACAAGTGCGCGAGCTGGTCATAGAGTCCTGAGCTGTTCCACAATCTCGGGTTAGCAACGAAATGAGTCCCATACTATGCATCCCGATACGCGGAACAGTCTGGTTCTCAAGGCGCGTGCGGAATGTTACTGTGTCAGCGGTCATTTGGCCTTAAGCCGCAGTTCGGCCGGTCACTCCGGCTTTTAACCTCACATCACAGACTAAACCATGATCATCGAAAGCTGATTACAGCCTTCCATCACTTTTGTTCTGATGATCAGGATTTACTTACAATTGTCCTATTTGAGAATGGTGATGAGGTCCTATGCAAGGTCCTGAGTCACTTATCTGATCAGATGTGGAATGAAGAGGCCACTCTAACCAACTGGGTTGAATTGACCATATCGGTAATATCTGATGACAGCCGCAAAGTTTGGGTCATTTACTGTGGAATCAGTCTGAGGTCAGGAATGATGTGGTTACTGTCCTCAATTATCGTCCGTCAACTTACTGCGAAACGAGAAACCGGAGGAACAGAGGGCAAGCAGGTTCATGTTTGGGACGAGGCTGCATAGACTATGTCGCCAATCTGCGGCACGTGCTAAAAATAGCGTTACACGTGCAAAAAGACAGATGTTACCTTCAAATAGGTGAAGATTCCTCACTACCCCCATACTCCAACACCAAGGGTAAAGTACGAAAAGATGATGATTTGCCAAAAGGCTTTCGAATACTAAGTAGCGATCGCCATGGCATGCGCGTTCCCAATTATGTTCAATTTCGTCGTGGACGCCAACATGCAGAATCTCACGATGTGGACATTGAAATGTGTGCTTGGAAACTGGTTGATCTGGGTTATGTGGACGATATCGCCATATCGCTTGACAGTCGAAAAGCAGCTAAGGCAACGCTGAGGATTCTTTGGGCTAGTCCCAAAGTTCATAGTTTTGTCGCAGGAGCACCAGTAAGTTGAGGACCGCTACACTCTCGACGATGGAACTAGGAGAAGTTGATCGATTCACGTACCTTGGAACCTGTGTTGGCATCGATGAGTACATGACTGCGGAGAGTACTTCAGGTGTTGTGGAAGTAAGGGTCGTCTAAGGCCTTTGTAGCAGCAAAAAACTTCCTTGGATTTGAAAGGTCGCATATACATAGCTATAGTGAGAACTGTTTCCCACTACGGTGGTGAGACTTGCTTCTTTAGTGTTAAGCACCTACAGGACTCTGACAGTCGTTACCTAAGTCGCACTGCCGGTGTGTGATGTCATCAGTGTGTACGCAATGACGGTTTGTGCAAGCAAGTTGAGCTTAAATGGGCACGTAATACGCATATCCAGTCACCGAGGAGGCGATTATATAATTTCGCAGACGTTGGGTGGCGCAAACGCCTAGAGGGGAGAGTGCAAAAGTCGAATTGACCACGAGAAACGAAGTCACTGACGGCCAAATTTGGCGCTGTTGCTCAGAGACAGAGACTGCGCACCTCACTCCACAAGACATGTCTCGCAGCCGACATCAGTGACACGTTTAACGTCGTAGCCTAGCCAGATTGCCGGCTTAAACTGTGTCCGATTCTGAGTTAACTTGGAGTAAAGCTGATTATAACGCAGAGCAGTGAAAACCTCGCTGGCTCGCTGATATCATCCTATCTTGGCAGGATAGGAATCTGGTTGTGACCGTTTGTTGTTGACATGACGCAGGCAAATAAGCCTTTGATACTTGCTTGAATCATATAGCTCTTAAACTAGATCCTCTCCCCCCCCGAGTATTCGTTGTTTCCTGCTCCATTACAGTTGCAGAGAAGCGAACCATCAGTTAAAATCACTGAAGCACTGTTGTTGCCATTTCCCTGTGCATAACAAAGTCAGCGCATGATGAGTCTGAATTTCCATGTGTAATTTTGTAAGTGGGTAAGGATACAACTAGGAGACTCAAATACAGGCATGAGACAGCGCTTGATTCAAAGGCATGATAGCAATGTAGCGAAAATATAGCAACGCGCCATCAAGTATGCCACATTTACAGCGACGGGTAATATCCACTTCCCTAAGGAGAACAATTTTCCGGAAAGATCCGTTCTTTTTATGAAACAAGTTGGGCCTCTAATACTCAGCAGAAAAATCAAGCCGATTCAGAAAAATTCTGGTCAATCACGCGATGCAAGCCATTAGCTCACTGATCGGCTGGGTTTCAAAACTGCCATTTTGGTAGATAACCTAGTTATTACAGAAGTTGAATATTCTTGGGTTGGGCACACTGATTCGCTGGCTACTCTTGCAATAGGCCCCTGCGTCAAGACTGCACCTTATTCTTAGCTAAGATCATGGGGAAGGTGAACATTTCAACCAAAATTGCATAGAAAAGGGAAGATCTGACATCACTGCTCCAAGCCCCACTCCGAAAGACCGGGAGCGTGTTGGAAAATTTGGGTCTTAAGGATGCTGGTAGGCCGAGCAAGTGGTTCCGCCCCGATGATGTCCGACTTCATTGCGATAGTAAGACAATTGTTGGTTAGCTCGTAAACAATGGTAACATTATTACGAGTAGGAGGATTAGTTGTAATTTTGATGTATTGGCCATAAGTAATATAAAAGGTAGTCTCTCCTAGTTTCAAATGCTATGGCCATAGCGTCTAGTGAGAGGAAATCATGACCTCGGAGGCTGGCTACTGTCGTCTGCAAAGGTAGTAACCTGTGTGGCAGTGGAAAATAGGTCGTGCTATATCCCAGTTAGCCTGCAAATTATGTAGGCTGGTCGACGTCCCCCATGGCTCAGTGGCTTAAGCTGCTGGCTAGTTGGCGTCTGCCTCTAGTGGTCATGGGTTCGATCCCCAGTAGGGAACCGAGGGAATGTGGACCAATAACAAGGTTAATAGGGCGAAATGCGTTTGGTGCTTTTCCGGATAGTGTCTGAGTTATGTAGCTTGTGGGCTGTTGAGACAAATACACTAAAATTGTGACGTCATCGGATATAAGCATCCCACAATCACTAGCTATGTGAGTGAACAGAAAGGAATCGCTGGTAGTAGATTTCGATGTAGTCTACATACTCATTATATGCCACTGTGTGTTCTGTCCCTCCACTCAGATTAATAACATAAGCGTTTGAGATAACAATAAAAATCGGTAGTGACAGCCCCCACAAACCAGGCGATTATGAAAACAACAGATACGTACGCGCATGAGTAACACAGGTGTAGACAAACGCAGACAGACAGACAAATGCAACGCATTAAAAGCATAACAGTTGGCAAGAGCGCACTTTTCTGCCATTCACTTCAGGCAAATATAAATACAAGACCAAAATAGACGCAACAGGTCCGTGAAATTTGGGGATGCGATGGGTTGAGTAAGCTACATCGGTCAATACTCCACTCAATAAACGCACACATATGCGCACAGAGCACAAGCGCTTCGGTCGGTGGGTCGACAACAGTCGCTTTCACTCGGAATCACTGTCCGACCTTGCGGCCAGGACAAAATGTGAGCGTCTATCAGTGTTCTCTGCTTGCACAAAAACATTCAACATACATAACTGCAGTATGAAATCTGAAAACAGCGATTATTAATGTGATAATCGGAAAGTTGGCGCCCTGCTAATGGAGCCACTAGTAAATGTGGTCGAACTATACGTTATATCACGCAGGCACCGTTATATCTCGCACCGAACTCCGAGGATTGGGTCACGCGTTCGCAAGCCAGCACACTGACGCCCGCGTAGTGTTATTTGCGCGTCGAGGGTGTGGATAGAAGAGGAGGGGTGTCCAATGACTTGGTCAAGAGGAATGAAAGCCCTTAATCCGAAGTTGGCCTCGGTTGGAGACTCTAGGCTTCCTGGTTGGGGTCGGAAAAACGAGGAACACTTGTTGATGTGGGTAGGAAGCGAATTCAATGACGCTTGTGTTGTGAGTCTTTTGTCACTCCCCTCCCCCGTAGCACCCACTTCATCCACGATTACATTTCTGAGGCATAATAGAACTCTTTTTTGCGGTACAGTAGCCAGCAGGTAGTTCTCCGGAACGGTGTCTATCAGTTACTGGTGACTCAGTTGGCGTGTCTCTGTTGCAGTTTTTTCGTCTTATGTAATGTGACACAATAGTTAAGGTGTTCTCCACCTCTGAATAACATTTTAAATAATAATAATAACGATAACAGTAATAATAGCACAAACTATACGAATCCGATGGTTCACAGGTAAACAGGTAAGGTGAGAAGGCATGTATACGTAGTTTGCTAAGCACAGGTTACGTGACTAAAATACTGCAGTGGTTACTTAATGCGTATTCGACGTATAGTATGCAACCAGTAGTGGGAATGACAAACCTGTGATTTATGTACGCCTGTTAGCTCTGTGCTGAGTTCCCGGTTCGCTCTTGCGGATTCGAAACGCTTCAGAAGGCGTGAACGAGCGATTTCCGCCTTATCCAAATCTCGACAGGCCATGATGACACGAGCACCACGCCGCGCTAACTCACCAACAACTTCATAGCCGATTCCTTGATTACATCCTGTAACGATAACTACCTTGCCGTCCAGACGTTGACCAAGAAGACAGTCCTTGTGATTAAAATGAAGCGTCTTCACGATGAAAAGTATGAGGACAACCAGCGCTGCCAAGAGGAGCAACCACCAGGTCATTGATAACGATGTGGCCAGGAATGAAGCAAAAATGGTCGTTCGTAACAAAGGCGCTGCAAAAACAATGATATACCGGTAGTTTGTAATAATATTTCGCTGCGGTGAAAGCATATACCTAAAAGAACCTTTTGGTAAGGCACGAGAGAAGATATAGATTAGAACCAGAAGGGCTAAGAAACATGCCGAGTCAAAGTGCGTGAATACTGCGGACACTGTACGATGGCGAGCGGTTAGCTAACGCCCAGAAACAAGATAGATTAGCGAAAGGTGTTTACAGTGGTCTTCGTTTCGGTGCACAGATTAATTCAATGGATAGATAAGGCAACCGCGTACACAAATAAAAAGCTGTTCGGCCGGAAGCGATGAGACTGGATCTGGTGGTGAGATAGTCCGTTTATCTCTGTGACGCAGTGAGCCACTCTTACCAGGCCACGTGAGGTAACAATCAAAGAGTTAAAAGCTTAGGCCGAACGGGAGAGGCCACGAGCATCAATGTTCACTAATGTCTACAACAAGTCAAGCAACCACAGGCCAAAAGGTTGCGGATTTGCAAAAATTCACCTACGGCTGAATGTGGTCGGAGGTAAACAAACTACGGCGGTAGAAAAGTACACGAGACTGATCCCGGTTGAGCCCTACATGTACAGCCAATATTCAAAATTATACGCAGGATACTGAGTCAAAGGCAGCGGATGATTGACACCAAGAAAACCTACGTTTGCCCCATTGCCTTGTGGATCACAATCTCGAACCAAACATATGTGTCCTGGAACAAAGCTCCACAATCCGAGTGATCAACCGCAGAGCATTATCTGTTCACAAGACATAGTAGCTGGTAGAAAAATGGCAGGCATCAGCAGTACGCTGGTACGCAGTACCGACGCTTCGCTGCCGCGCATTCACCATCGGTCGCACATGGGCTAAGGATACTGCGAGAGTCGCCCTGCCCCTACGCAGGCTCGAACCCGCGCCGCAAGATTATGAGACAAATAGTTGGTAACCATTTAGCTTCGTTTCATTTCAAGACTTTCTCGTGTCAACTAATGATGGACCACGAATAACTCCATCAGCCACACTAGTAATGATGCCTGACAGTGTTGTAAACCTATGGTACTATAATACACGGACTTTTTAACGCTCGTACGTCGTGTCAGGTTGGCCAACAGGTGACAGTTCGCACCACTATCATCATCATCAACAGCAGTACATCAGCCATTTGAACTGATGTTTCGCTGCCATACAACCATGGGGACCTAGGAAATAAAGAATAAGAAGAGGGAGAGAAGTGGGACTTACCTGAAAACCTTAATGCCCTAAGCAAACATTCAGGGTCAAGGCGCCTACACCTTGTGTAGACAACATACCGTCACAAACAGCTGGCTATCGTGCAAAGATAAGGTGGCATCGGCGAGACAGCTTCCTTGCGACTTTCACTGCCCCGCGTCATAATCAGCTATTACCCCGCAGATAACTCAGCACCAAACACACTTTAAACAGACAATCCGATTAGGAGACGACAGCAGACGCGCCACTGGTGTCGGTTGCGAGCCATGTCCTGTAAAGTCTCGAGCCAAGCACAAGGTGAGTCACGTGGACTCCAACTCGGAAGGCGAGACGGACAAACGGCACCCAGTTTGGTCGTCAGTGACTTCATTTCCCGCTGCCAAGTCAACTTCTGTCCACCTCGAGCCTTGCGCCATCCTACACCTGGTAGACTGAACAAGGCCCTCCTAGGTAAGCGGTGACCAGGCATGTGTAGCATGTACCCGAGCCAACGCAACTTATTCAGTGCTATCTGTTGTTCTAGGGAGCCAGCATGATCATCACCACCTAGTACTCGCCTACGCACATTATCGTTGCGGAGACGCTGGTGCCATCCGACACCAGCAATGCTTCGCAAACAACGATGATCAAAGACTTGAAGGCGCCTCGGGTCTTCAGACCGAAGGGGCCAAGTCTCACTACCATAGAGCAGAACTGCCCTCACTGTGGCCTTGCATACACGGCCTTTCAGACGGAGGGAAACTCCCTTCTGTTGCCAAAGGTGACGCAGGTTCAAGAAGGCAGCTTTGGCCTTTGCAATGCGTGAGCTCACGTCAGTTTCTATGCGCCCATCATTGCTGATGCAGCTGCCAAGGTAAGTGAATTGATCAACCACCTCGAGTTCCTCGTTAGCAAGCGTCAAGGGGTCATCCAGTGGCTGGTGGTCCTGCAGCAATACTTTGCACTTTGAAGGTGCGAAGTGCATACCAAATAATGGGACCACTACACAGAGGCTATTCAGGGTTGATTGTACCGCCTCAACATTGTCGAAAATCAAGACGATATCGTCGGCATAATCTAGATCAACTAACCGTTCACCAGGCAGCACTTCAACACCTACATCGTGAGATTCCGCAAGGGAACACTCCATGAAAGAATCCACGACCAAATTGAACAAAAACGGGGAAATCGGGCAACCCTGTCGAACGCCACTTGTGGTCGAAAAGCTATCCGATAGGGCACCGTAGACCCTGACGCGGCCTCTAGTGTTCGAGTATAAAGCACGAAGAATGTTCACATATTTCGTGGGAACACCTTTCCGCGCAAGTAATTCGAACAGAATCGATCGATCGACTGAATCGAACGCACTCTTGAAATCGAGGAACACAGGTATTGTCGGTCTGCGGTGTGCGTGGCGCTGCTCTAGCACCTGCCGCAAAGTAAATATATGGTCTATACAGCCACGTCCTGGGCGAAAACCGGCCTGCTCTTCCCTAATCCGAGATTCCCGTTCTGCAGTGAGGCGATGAACGAGAATCGAGGCCAGTAATTTTGTCACAACTGGCGTTAGGCTAATACCCCTGTGGTTCGCACAGTCTGTGCGACTGCCCTTCTTGTATATTGCCACTATAATCGATTCGCTCCAATTAGCCGGGACACTTCGTTCCAGGTACGTTCGAATAGGGAGGTCAGTGCTTTGCAGAGGACCTCACCTCCATCCTTAAATAGTGCAGGTGGGAGGGAATCCGGGCCAGCGGCACGAAAACGATTGAGGGCTGTGATCACATTTCGGACCTCGGCCTTCGACGGAGGCTCTAAACTAACTGTCCATGGCTCGTCTTGCATCACCTGAGTAGGAAGAGGTCCGGGAGCAGGGGGCCAGCTGAACTGATCTTCAAAGTGTTCAGCCCAACGAGCCATACGGCGCTCCTTATTGTGTATCAGTGCACCCGCGCTGTCCCTGATTGTCTCACTGACGCCTGGTTTTCTGGGACCAGTGGTGCGGATTAGCTGGAAGAGCTTCCGGCAATTGCCTACTGCTCCTGCCTCCTCCATTTCTTGAGCCTGACTGGTCCACCAGGCTTCCTTGTCAGCATGTAGGCTCCGCTTTAGTTCACGCCTAATAGCCCGTCTGGTCACATTGTGTTCAGAACCAGCCGGGAGATGCCTTCTAGCTTCCAAAAGGTTCACGGACTTCTCTGATATCCAGTGACTAGTGCGGTGACGACTGATAGTGCTACAAACAGATGCTCCTGCGTCGTGCATAGCGGCCGAGATCCTATTCCACTGAAGTTCAGTGTCATTAGGACAAGACAGCGAGAGTTCGCTATGCAGTGCTTCTTGACAGGCTTGCCTGATAGAGGGCTGGGACAATTTCTCCGTTGCCAATCGGGACAAACGCTTTGTGCGCCTTCCGGTAAAGTTCATGGAGAAACGACAGCGCACCAAGGCATGATCAGAGTCGACACAGGTACTCCAGTACGAGCGGCAATCCAGAATAGAACCGCGCCACTATAGGAATAAATGTAGTTTGTGTCTCCAAAACACACGAAGGACAACAGCATCCTAAGGCAACTGCGTTTGCCGTAATCGTATACTGACGACATAGCTTGCATGCGTCGTACCGATGGTGGCGTTTAGTCAGAGTGAAACTGAGCACTGGCGTTTGCAAGATACTGTTCATATATAGGAGGAGAACTGAATAAGTAACACTGATTCTTGGCATCTGGCGTTTGGAAACAGGCACTCTGAGAGGCAGCTAGGCTTGAACCGCTTCCGCTGGCTAAGTTATGCTCCACGCACCTGACAGTCGGCTGTCTCAGCATATATTGTTAACCAGTACTGCATCTAGCTGAGTGAACTCAGAGGTGGTAAATCAATAATAGGGTATATGCTCCTTCGAAGGGAAAGTGAAAATAATACTCGTCGTTTTCCTAAAGGTCAGACGCATATTTGGTTAAGTACTCCCCGAGTAGTGCAACCACGACTATAAAAGCATCCTTGCATAGCCTTTGTTAACTCATAACAATATCATCCGAAAACCATAGATACTGTCTATTTCTTTAAAATGAAGGCTCGTAGCCATAAGCATAACAGACCTGTCTTGTAACCCCGAGGTCGAGAGTTTGAGTCTGTGTAGGAGACCGGGCGACTTGTGGTGGTTGCGTGGCAGCGAAGTACAGGCGCTGCATACCGGCGCATTGCTGCCTTTTATTCCTTTCAAATTAGTGTTGTAATAGGTGTTATTTCGGCGGACCAACAGCACTTAGGTCCACGAACCTACCAGGATTTGATTAAACCAAGAGCAAAGCATCCAACCATCTGTAAAACGAAATCTGCATGCGTACAGCAATTGCGCACGGGAAACAGAACACAGTGCGTTGTTGGGAAAGTGTGCACTAAATGGCTGCAAATGACCATGCGCATTTATTGGAGCACCAGGTTCGTACCATCTCCCCCTGTGTACTTTTGGTAGGGAAAGATAGTTCATGCAGTTTGTATTGTGAAATGATAGATTTCGGTTCGCCACAACTCAATACGACCAAACATGCTTTCGCCCACGAATGACCGTGGGAGTTGCGTTAGTTCAGTCATTTTGCCTAGTTTTGTGTTCATGTGACCTAACAGTGTTAGGGGGTTCGGCCGGACGGGCTCTGACTTCCAGGACTGAACGTGAGTCCACATTGGCGACGCACTTCGCTTCCGTATTTATAGGTGGGCATGCGCGTATGCCTAACTCGAGGTGATAAGCTCCTACGGAACGCGAGTGCCTGGAGCGCAATGAGGAAGA